TCATATAAAATAAAATGAATAACAACGATGAATGCAAATAAAAGAATGGAAAATTTGTAAATGATTCATCGAGATCTGATTCATTCTTTTTTTTTACTGGAAATTTCTTCTTTTTCATTTCAAAATTCCACCATTCATGTTACATGATCTCCAGAATAAGAATAGAATGAAAAATGATAATAAGAAACAAAAAAATTTTGTTGTTTTCACGATAAAAAAAAAATCATCATGAAATTTAAAATGTGAAAGAGTCAAACATTTTGTGACTATTGTTTCGTTTGGCCATTTTTCATAATTCATTTCATTTTCGATTGTTATGTTGTGAAACAAGAAATGAATGAGAAAACAAACAATCACATGAAACACACGAATGGTTGAAATACGAAACGTGAGACTAGCACGAAAAAAAACCACAAATTTCAAAACACTGTATTTTATGGAAATGATAATCTAATCTAATTTTTTTTCATTTCTTTATCTAGTCTAGAGAATTTATTTCTTTCTTTTTTTTGTTCAAACATAAAAAAGACAGTTAGAGGTTGTGCAATTGTGTTTGAAGCAAAAAAAAAATTTTTAAATTAAAATTTAATGACTTTTTGCGGCGTGAACAATACGATAATCACGCGTGCACTGAAATGAAATAAATGATTCGGCATAAGAAATTCTTATATTACAAAAACACACACACAATATATTAAGAATTATATTCAATGTTAATGTAAAATAAGACACATTGGATTCTTCAACAAGAATCTAATGCCATTTGTTTTTGTCTCTATTGTCTACATTTTCTTTTATCATTCATCATTTATATAATCATCAAACACATCAAAATTATAGCATTAAATTGGCAACAACAACAACAACAAAAATCAACGAAAAAAAACCAACAATGTATATGGATTTCTATGATTAAATAGATATATGTATATAGTTTGAATTGAAAAACAAACAACGAGTGCAAAAAAGAAAAAAAACAACAAACAATAACAATAATCAAATGTGTGTGATGAATTCATCATATAAAAGTATGAACCAAAAAAAAAAAAAAATTTGACTTGGCCCAATGGGAATATTTATGATGAAATTGAAAGAAATGTTTTATCTTTTTTTGTTTGTTTGTTTTGTTTTGTTTTGCTTGCTATAAACCAAAATATCCGATAAGAAAATGAATAAATGAATGAAAATCATCATCTCGATGATGATGATGATGATGATGATGGAAAAAGATATGAAATGAAAACAAAACAAAAACAAAACAGATAATAAAATATGAAAAATGAAAATCAAATGTGTGAGAAAAAGAAACAGAAAAAAAATTCATTGCATTTTTTTCCGGGCGCCAGCAACACATGTGTCCATGTGTAACCGATGATATTATTGTTTACACAATCACTGAAATCCAGTGTTCAATATATTTTTTCGGCATCAGATTTTTTCATGACAATGAAATATGAATATGATAAGAATTGATTGTGAATGAAAAAAGAAAAAAAAAAAAATCTTCCGAAAATGGATTCTTTTTGTTTTGTTTTCTTTTATACTAAGAAAATGCAATTCTAAAAACAATTTATTAGAATTTTATTTGGCGAAAAAAAAAATTGAAATGAATGAATTATATTCGTAAAATTCTTGGCGATGAACAGAAAAAAAGATCAAAATGATGATGATGATGATGATAGATGAATTCAACGATTTTTTTTATTTATTAAAACAAACAATATTGTAAAACAGAACCAGAATCGGTGTTATTATTATTACTATTTGCCTTTTAGATTATTTTTGTCATTATTATTGTTTTTTGATTTTATGGAATATTCTTCTCTTTCTTAACCCTTTCCTTCCCTCACTATCTCTCTCTCTCTTTCTGATCACTTTATAAAATGAAAAATGAGCTACTAGAATTGATAGAATTTATGATGATAATAAATGAAATGAAATGAGAAAAAAAAATTTTTTGGTTGGGATATTACACGAAAACAAATGAGAAACAAAAACGATGGGCCATTAGTATTTTATTTTTGTTTTCAAAATTCGATTTAAAAATGTTTAAAAAAAAATTTAAATATTCAAAAATATGGTAGTTGAAATGGAATAAAAATCAAACGGAAACGATTATGATGATGATAATGGTAAGCTGTTTACTGTAACCATATATAAAATGATTATGTCATTATATCCATATATATGATTATTATTTAATTTTTATGATGATAAATTCATTGTTGACAGCAGCATTTATACACATTTGCTAACGATTAAAATCCAGCTTTAACCATGAAATAGCATAGATAAGAACAATTTAACGGATAAAAAATGAATGAGAAGAAAAAAAAACTATGAACAAAACTTGCAGATCTTGTTATAAGAGGAAAGAAGAAAAAAAATTCTTCGACAATTATGTGCTGAAACAATGATGCAAACAAGCCAAAAAAAAATGAATGGCAAATTAGATGACGATTCTCTTAACAAAAAGAAAAAGACTCGTCAATCGAGAGGAAAAAATTAAATCTAAAAAATAAAAAAGCAAAAGCAAAAAGATGCCTATATAATGGCGAACAAACAAACAAATCAACGAAAATAACAAGAGAATATTTAAAGAAAAAAAAAACAAAACAAAACAAAAAATTCTGAATTTGACTTGAATTCTTTAATATATATATTGTTTGAATAGTAAAATATTGGTTAAAGTGAACAAAAAAAAGAGAAAAATTACGTTGTTCTGTACGATGATGTCATTGCCAAAGGAATTTTTCTTCTTCCGTTCAAAAATCCCAATAGACATTAGGAAACAAAAAAAAATTGCATCGTTGCAAATGACAAATAATTCAAGATACAGATAGGGAGAGAGAGAGAGAGAGAGAGAGAGTATATAGAATGAGAGTCAAAGAGCAAAAAAAAGGACCAACAAAAAAAATTAGATGAAAAGTAAAAAATTCGAGCAACAACAACAACAACAACGAAAAAAAATCGTTACAAATGAATGCATAAAATGGATTAATATTTTTTTTTCATTCATTGTCAAGTTTCTCTCCTGATTTCAAGTCGAAAACTTTACGAATTTTTTCTTTCTTAAAAACAAAATTTCTAATGAAATTTACGAAATTTTTAAAACAAAAAAAAACAATCATTTCATCATGGAGAAATAAAAAAAAACAAAACAAATGTCAAACACACACGCGCACACGCCCACACACACACTAGCTAGCAGGAAATGAAAAAAAAAAAATTGAAAAAAATATGGTCCAAACCAAAAATAAAATCGAAAAAACAGCAGCAACAACAACAACAACGACAACAAATTTATTATATTACATTTAAAATTCACCATACTAAACAAACAAATACTGAATAATGTCAACCAATGTTGAGAGAGAAAAAAAAAATTGAAATTTGAATTTAAATTCCATCAATACATACCTTTATTGGAAACGTTTGTTTTTTTTTTATTTTCATTGATCAAACAAACGAATGGAAAAAATAGACATATCATATATGATGGATGAATGAATGAATAAGTGAATGATGAGTAAAATGAAATTTGAACCATTCGTTTTCGTAGAATGAAATGATGGATGTGAAATTTTTTATTTGAATAAATTTCATTGATATGTGCAATCGAGATAGAGATTGAGAGAGAGAAAAAAACCCACACACACACACACACAATTATTAATATGAAAAAAATTTGACATATATCGATTAGATAATCAAGTTGTTGCTGTTGTTGTTGTTGTTAAACTAAGATCTGATACAATCAACATGAAGGAATATATAATTGCAATACTGAATATTAGCAACTGCTACAATGTTTATTTGTTTTTTATTTCGTTTAGTTTAGTTTTGTTTTAGTGAGAATAAAATATGAATGAAACAATCGTATGGTCATTTATTCAATTTTTTTTTTTTAATATCTACTGTATTACACAATCATACAAACAAACCAAAACCAAAACAAACATAAACACTTTTGCTATTATCTACAATCTATTTATATTATATCATTTCACAATCCTTTTATTTCTAGTTAGTTAGTTAGTTAGTTATTTTTATTATAATGGACTACTGGTATACATTGAATTATATATGAATTCGTTGATTTCTGTTGTTTGACCGGAAATTGTTGATCATTCAAATTCATTTATATGGGCAAAGAAAATGCGGAACATTAGGTAGTTTTTAAAAAAAATGAAATGATGATGATGATGATGATGATGACACACAGAATCTGATGCAAACTAAAACAGAGGTTCCGGTTCAATTTTCATTTATCCATATGTTTCACATTCAGACTTTTGGAGATGATTTTTATGCGCGCCAAAATTGTAATTTGAAATTTTACATTGTTGTTCCATGATTCACATGATGATGGTGAATGAGTGTGTGTGTGTGTGTGTGAATGCATCGAAAATAAAAACCAAGAATGAACAACACCACACAAGTCATTCATACAATCTCACTTATTAGGTACTGATCGTTTTTTGGGTAATATCAGCTTGACTTATATTTTTTTTTTCGCATCATCCATAGCTTTAACTTATTAAATGTTAGAATTGGAGAAAATTCTGTAGTAGTGGCTTATAGTTGGATGTCATGCATGTGTGTGTGTTTGCGTATGTGATGCTATGAATGAATGTATGAATTTCTGACATGGGCATCGAAGAGGTTAAAATTATAGTTAGAATATTGGAATTTGTAGATTCGGCGCATTTATAAATTTTTTCATTCGGATGTTCAAGAATCAAACCAGAATTTTTTTTTCTGATCACAATAAAACCACGCAAATTCTCTCGCTTTGGACGAAAGTGAAAGCTGATAGAAAACAAAAAAAAAATTTAAATTCCAAAATTTTCATAAAATAAATTGATTAATCTAATTGGAAATTCATGAATGACAGATTTTGTTCTTGATTTATTTTGTTTTTTTTCTTTCTTTATTTCGTTATTCAAGTTGATCATTATATTATGGGAAAAATGAAAATTTATTTCATTTTTTTAATTTTGCAATAAAAATGTGCAAAAATATGGAATAGCAATCATGAATGGTATGTAGAAAATTTAATGAAATTCTTGATTCAATATTGATTGAATGCGCTGTTCATCCAATAATTTTGTCAGAATTTCATCGGCTTTACATCCATGTATAATATGTAAACGATATTGATGTCCATATTGTTTTTCGAATTTATCATCCAATTTTAATAATACTTTCAATCGTTTTATATCATCATCATCATCGTCACCAGCACCATTATGACCATTGTTTTCATGATTATTATCAGCAATAGATGTAGTAATAGTGGCTGTTTGATCTTTACGATCAATTAATTTGATATAATCAATCTGCAATTGTTTATTATTTTCCATTGAATTTAGAAACAAATGACGTATGGTTTTTATCGATGCTTTTGATTGATTAATTTTTTTCACTTTCTGCGATAATTTCAATTGATATTCGGCCATAAACGATGCACGACGATAAGTGTTGTCAATAATTTCAGCCATATCATTGCCCTGCAGACTGGTACCAACACATTTCCGTAATAATTCAGTTATTTTTGTAATACGAGCTTTTGGACAATTCAATTCAAGAACTTCCTTTTGTGATTTATCACATATACGTTCCGGTATATATAGACGTATATAATCGAATATCATTTTGACCTTATAATCTGATAACATTTTATCATCAATCATTGATTCGACACCAACATTATCGTTGTTGTTGTTGCTGCTGTTGCTGTTGCTGCTGCTGCTGCTGTTTTATTATCATTATCTATTGTTGTATGTCGAACATTGTCTATTGCCGCCAAATGTATACTATCCGATGTGAACGGTAATATATCAATACAGGCCATTCTTTTTATCTTTAAATTTTTCTCATTCTTTTTACGTTTACACATTAATGCAGCTAATAAGGCACCAAAATCTAATGCTAATAGATCATATGTACCATCATTATTTGGATCGGTTTCCACCATTTTTGTTATAATTTCATAATAATAATCAACAATATGTTTCAATGAATCAAATGAATTGAGTTGGCGAGTCCAATTTAGACCGATAACCGGACGATTCATTTTTTGTGCTAGAACAGAAATCAGATCGAATATACCGATCATTGGTGGTAGACAATAGATTGGTTTGCCTAATATATATATTCATATATGTAGCAATCATCATTATAATAGAAAAGACAGAAAAACAAATTTAACCATACCTTTCTGTATCGAATTCAATGCAACAATCTGTAATGTTGGTATAACGAAACGTATCCGTGATAGATTTGCTTTTGCTTTCTTTATATCATCCGAATATTGTTTCAATGTATTGCGATTACCATCACGAAAATTTTTCAATTCTTTCACCGTTATTTTTCTCACATCGGCTAATGAAAGTGTAATGTTAAAATCACGTTCAAGACGTTGTTGTATTTCAACAGCAGCCATACTATCGAGACCAATATCACCAAGACATTCATCTTCTGGCCGTTTATCAATGTTTAAATGCACACACAATTGTCTTATAACTTCATTATCAGTATCGATACTGTTTGAATCCTGTGCATATGGTACATATGATGAAAAGATACCCATTTGTTGTGGTAAAATTTTATCCAATACGTTCAAACATGAATGTATTCGTTGCATACATAAACCCATCAATGTTTTCATTATTGCCTTCTCTGAACTTGAATCAAAATTTTCGGCTACAATGCCCACATCACCAATCGGTCCAAATTGAATGCATATACCAGACAAGCCTTAATTAAGGATTAAATAGAAAATCACTAATCACTAATTATAATTGTAATCATTGATAGCTTACCATTGTTGAATCTACTTTCAATTATTCGTTCCATAGTTGAATTGGCAAAACCATAATTAGTTTGGCCAGCATTTCCACGACCAGAACTAAATGATGAAAATGCAACAAAATAATCGAGATCAATTTTTTGTTCACGAGTAATACGATCCAGATTTTTTAATCCATCTGATTTTGGTTGACAAACTCTTTTAAATTTTTCAATACTTTGATTGTCAAACATTCCATCTTCTAATACCATTGCTAGATTAAAAATTCCGCCAATTATTCCCAAAGTTTTTGTTTCTTCAATCAATCGATAACAATCATCATAATTGGCAATGTTTTTAGTTGAAATCCGATATTCGATCCGATAATTATTACAATATTGTTCAATCACTTTGAAACGTTCAAAGAATACACGTTGAAATGATGAACGTATACCAGAACGTGAAGTAATCATAAATTTTCTAGCCCCTCGTAATATCATCCAATAAATTAATTCGAGGCCAACACCGCCGAGACCACCGGCAATAATATAAACTTTTTCTGTATCAAACCAAGTCTTGACAAGAGCATCAACTTTGATAATTTTGTTCAAATCATCTTGTTCATCGCGTATGCGGATCAAAACTTTACCGATATGTTTGCCATTAATCATATGACGGAAAGCCTGTTCAATATGATCGATTTCAAAAACAGTTCGATCGATCGGTTTGACGACACCATTTTTGATGCCATCATTTATACATTGGCTTACTTCAGCGAAAAAATTCTGAAATGATTTGGATTCCAATCCATCACGGAACAAGCTATCCAAGCCAATTCCATGGAATGAAATGTTCTGCAAAAATGTAAACATCCCAAGCATAGAGTTCATCTGCATATCTAATTTTCCAATTTCAAGAAAACGTCCATTAGTGGCCAGACATCGTAAAGAGGCGTGCAATTTGTCTCCGGTCAATGAATTGAGTACAACATCGACTCCGCGGCTTTTAGTCATCAATTTGATTTTATACTCAAAATTAGTGTCTCTTGAACTAAAGATATGATCATCGGCAATGTTGAACTTTTCGATGAGAAATTGTCGTTTGACATCGTTACCTACGGTCACGAATATTTCACATCGATAATGTTGACAAATATTTAATGCGGCTTGTCCAACACCGCCGGCAGCCGAATGTATTAAAACAGTATCTTCCAGTTTTAGGTGACCGCGCATCACTAAGGAATAATATGCCGTTGTATAAATGACCGGAATAGTGGCTGCATCTTCTAAACTCCATTCGTCTGGTACAGACCATACAAATTTTTCAAACGTTGTTATTTTGGTTGCAATTCCTTTGAATGGTATCATTCCCATTATTCTTTCACCCGTATCATTTCTACGACCAGAAAATTCTAGGCCAATCATACAATCGAACAATGCTGATTCTGGACCTGGTATAATTTTTCCGGTAGCTAAAACAACATCCTTCATATATGTGATAAACATAATTAATGAAACAAAAACATAATAACAACACATTACATATGACTTATTACCTTGAAGTTAACTGCAGAATAATAAACATCGCAAACAATTTCTGTAGAGTTGCTAATTGTTGTTGGCTGTTGTTGCATCGATAATGGTGATTGTATCCATTGAAGACTTGATAAATCTCCAGCCAATATTTGACTTACATAAGCATCCTGTGTTTGTTTGCAAAATTCTTGTTTTTGATCAATGCTAACAAAACGATATGTACCCCAATTCCCATTAGGATGACAAATATTGAATAATAAATCTTTGTTTATAATTTCTTCTGGCACAGATAAAGTGCTAAATTCATTATCACAAGAAAAATTTTCCGATAAAGCCAACACCCGTATAATACTTGCTGCTGGTGATTCCAATCGTAAACAATTAATAAAGCCAATAATTCCAGTTTCGAAAAGACGAGACACGATCCAAATTCTTGTTTCATTATAATCACCATTTGATTGTTTTGATCTAATCAATTCTTGTAATGTTTGAATCCATGAATAATCGAACAAAGAATCAATGTAAACAGTATGAGTATTAAATGAAATCGAAACTGAACGACGATATAAATAGATCATTGTACGTTGTTTATGTGCAGTTCTTGAGGCAATTGGCCAAAATAGTTTGTTGTCATTATTTGAATCAATTGAACATAAATAATCATCGAATATATCATTCCAACAGCAAATATTCTGTTCATCATTGTTTGACAAAACATTCAGAATAAATCCAAATGGTTTTAATATTGTCCACAATGATTTCATTGTTTTCATCATTGTCCACAATTGTTTGGTTTTGTTGTTAATTTGTATGATAATTAAATCAAAATTTTCTTGATCAAATGAATTCAGAAATTCCATTGTTTCAAGATCCCATTCAATTGTTTTAAAATTAATGCCATCATTTGATTGTGGAATCAATGTTGACGAATGTCTGGTTGCAATGTATTCCAATTGGAATTTATGGCCAACATTTTTCTTGATAAATTCACTGATTATTGTAAATAAAAGTTTATCATTTGGACAAATTTCCAAAATTTTTAATTTGGATTGTTGTTGTAAATTTTCAGCTATCAATTCCAGAATCGGTCTAGCGAATAATTCATTTTCAAGTATTTCTTTGTCGATTTGTTGTAAAGTTTCGGCAAAAAAATCATCAAATTCTTGATGGAATGGAATGAATTGATATCTTTCAAGCACAAGATTAGCCATATCATTTTTGCGTGGAATGTTCACCGGTACTAGACCTTCAACTTCGATACCTTTTGTCACTAGAATTTGATTGAATAAATCAAATTTTACATTAAACATTGCTTGTTTTTCAGTTTCAATTGTTTCTGGCTCAAGAGTAAAATTCATTATCTCAAATGCTATGGAGTTTTCATCGTTATTGATATTTTTCACTTCTTCTTGTGCAATAATTGATGTAGTATGATCACGAGTAACGTTACGAAAATAGCAAAATTCTTTTTGAAATCGTTTATCCGAATCATTTTGATTAGTACATTCTTCTTTTGCTTTACTAATAGAATCAAACAATATGATTGGATCACATTTGAATGAATTGATTTGTACAGGTATGAATAATGATCTGATCGGCATCGATAATAATGATAAATGTAGTGCAGAATCAACAAAACTAATCCATTGGCCTGTCCATTTGAGACGACCATTTCGGCCATCACCAGTAGCTTTTACAAGGCCTTGAAACGATGATCCATAATCATAGCCACGAACTCGAAGTTCCTTATAAATTTCATTACTACTCAACATTGATTCATAATCGATTTCTGATTCAAGTTCATCATCATTATTTTGATGACGAAGAAATTCTTCACCATCATGTCTAGCAAACACATTACCTTTGCAAACAAGAATATTGTTTTCACATAGAACAAATTCACCGGTAACATCAATAATTTGTACAACAAACTTGATGGACTTGACTTCATTGAGAAATGTTGGACGATGTATTCGAACGTTTTCAAAATGAATAGGAACTTTATGCCAAGGTTGACCTATTTTGGTGGCCATAGCACGCCATACAATTAATAAATAACCGGTCAATGGGAATACAACACGACCATCGATAGTATGATCTTTAAGAAAACGCCAATCCGAATCGACAATCGATATTCGAAACCAGTAATTGGCTGCTGTTGAAAAATTATGATATTCAGGATATTTTTTAATTTCATGTTCACGACTATGATCCCATCGTATTAATGAACTAATTGATTGAGTACCACGTGCAACTGGCCATTCTACTTTTGGATAAAGATTTTCAATACTTGGATTAAATCCAAATGTATAAATTTTGCCAATTGAACTAAGTAAATGAATCAATTGATCTGGTTCATCTTTTTCATCAAACTAATGTAATTAATATCGTTGTAAAATCGCTTGAATATTGAATTAAATAATGAATGTGGAGCTACTTCAATGCATAGAGATTTTTTCGGTATATGTACCATACCTTCTTCAAAATAAACTGGTCTTTGAAGATTATTGACAAAATATTGACCTGTTGCATATTGTACATTTTGATCATCAGGATGAATATCGGCAGGAATCGATGTAGCGATCCATTTATTACTTCGTTTTTTTGGTTCTATGATTACGGTGTCAAGTTTTTTCAACATTTGTTTGGCAACTTTTTCCATCTGGACACTATGATATGGATAATCACCTCCGGCTACTTCACGTACAAAAATGTTTTCAGATTTTAATCGTTCAATGAATTCTATCATTGGTTCATAAAGGCCAGATATAGTGACAGAATTTTTTCCATTATGACATGCAACATAAACGCCATCTGGACAAATTTTTTCCAACTCTAAAACAGTCATTCCAACGGCTGCCATTAGACCTTTTGGAAGATAAGATTCAGCATCCTGAACAGTTTTTCCACGCCAATAAGATGTTAATAAAGCTTGTTCGGCTGTAAGACATCCATCGGCATAAGCACAAGCAATTTCTCCGAATGAATGTCCAATATAGCCACTGATTGGTAGTTGTAATGTTTTAAGCACATCATACAATGCTATCTGCATTGATGTTATTGATACAAACGAATTGACTGTACGATTTTTGGCATCAATATCGTCCATTTGAAAATTTTCCAAAATTAATTTAATCAAATCGATACCGAATGGTCTTAATAATTCGGCACTGTTTTTAATCGATTCAGCGAATGTTTCTAAATGCATCAATTGTTCACCCATACCGGTCCATTGAGATCCCATGCCAGTGAATACAAGCCATAATTGTGGAATTTGTTGTTGGCCATTATTTTCAATGGTGGGCAAATATTCTAATTGATTCACTTCATTTTTTCTAATAATCATATAACCACGAAATGGAAAATTTGCCGAACCTTTGATTAATGTTGTTTTCATTGAATCATTCAATAATGCAAGAAAATCACATTGAACTTTTTCTGGATTATTTTTGATGAAATCAAAAATATATTGTACTGCTTCTTCTGTACGGCCACAAACATTAATCAATCTTGGAATCACATCAACAATATTGAAATGTTGGCCATTCAATTCTTTTGCATTGATCTTTAGTAAAGCATGTGCATTAACACCACCAACACCGAATGAATTGACACCGATGATTTGGCCATTGAATTGTTGATTTTTCACAACTGGTTCAATTGTTTTATGAAGACTTTCAATCTCTGGTCGTGGTTCATTATAATGTAAATTGGCTGGAATCAATTTATATTCAAATATAATGATTGCTTTTGCAAGTGAACATAATCCTGATGCACCTTCAGTATGACCCATATTGCTTTTCACAGCTCCCATCAATAGTTTATCCTGTAAAAAAATCCATAATTAAAATATGAAAAATATAAAAAATATATTTATGAATACATACTTTACGATTTTTGCAATAAGCTTCCGAAACAGCTTTTGTTTCTTGTGGATCACCGACATTGGTTCCAGTGCCATGAGATTCAAAATAATCAATTTCTTCTGGTAGAACACCAGCTTCTTGAAATGTTTCAATCATTAGATTTCTTTGTCGAAGCCAAAATGGTGCAAATAAACCGATGGTTTTGAAACCATCGGTATTGGTTTTAGCATGTAAAACAGTTGCATAGATTCGTTTTGCTTGACTTTTACGCATTAAAAACAACGATGAAACCGTTTCTGAACGTACAAATCCATCGGCATTTTTATCGAATACTTTACATTTACCATCATCCGATAGTAAACCTAATGAATGATAAACATAACTTGAATATGGAGCCAAACAGATATTGCTACTTGCTACAATGGCCATTTCACAGATTCCATTACGTAAATCTTGTACAGCATTAGCCATTGCAACCATACTTGATGAACAAGCCGTATCGATCACAGTACTTGGTCCATTAAAATCAAATAAAAATGATATACGATTAGCAAGCAAAGCTTTTGATGAACCATAAACCCAGAATGCAGCATCTTTAGCACGAATGTCACTGAAATCATCCTGTGGTATAGCTTCAGCATTCGCTATTTAATCGAATGAATAATCTAAGAGATTTAAGAAAAAAACAAAAAAAAAAAAGAAAAACATACCGACAGTATTGATTCCGACATATACACCAGTTTTTGTTCCACGAATTTTTTGCGGTGCAATTCCAGCATCAGCAATTGCTTCATAAGTTGTTTCTAATATAATACGTGATCCTGGTTCCATAGTGTCAGCCAAAATTGGTATCGTACAAAAATACGAATTATCAAAATATTCAAGATTTTTTATTTTACCACTACGAGAAGTTTGATCATTATACAATCCTGTGTGAGAATAACAACAAACGAAAAAAAAACAACAACAAACAACAACAACAACAACAGATAAAATGAATGAAAAGAAAAAACAAAACATACCAATTGGCCAACGACGTTCATCACGGGTAACCATATCAATATTGTCAATCAAATTATTAGCCAATTCATCTAGATTATCAGATTCAGGAAATCGGCCACCAATACCACTAATAACAATATCATCATCGATTGGCCAGGATTTTTTTTCACAATTTGGCCAAACAGAATTAATCATTGAATCATCCATGATGAATTCAACAAACAGACTGAATGAATCAAAAAAAAAAATGACTACCACTTGATCAAACCACAATCATTATTTTTTGAATTGAAATATTTTATTTTTTTTTTTGAAGAAAAAAAACTAGTTTCAAAACAAAAGAATGATTTTAATAATTGATTCACTCTAATAATCAACAATCAACAATCGATTTGGATAATAAAAATTCAACAAACAAACCAGCGAAAAAAAAATTGAGGAAAGAAAAAATAATTCAGTCACACTTCGGCAATTGGTTTAATTGTAATTATTGTCATCATCATCATCATCTTCACCTGTCACCTGTAATTAAAAACCAAAAAAAGCCAAAAAGCCAAAAGCGAAAAAACCAACAACAAAAAAAAGTTTCATGACCCTAAATAGGAGTCTATTAATAAGTGAACACACAATCCAATCGCTGTTGTTGTTGTTGTTGTTATCGTTGTTGTTGTTGTTGTTGTTATAAATTGATTTTATTCATCTTAATTTTGCATATATTCAAAATCGTATAACTTTATTCATTTTTTTTATTTGTAAATATAATTATATCATCACTGTTGAAATATATAAATATTTATAATAATTGACCTTATTTTTCATTCTCTCTTGCTCTCTGTTTTTGTTGTTGTTGTTGTTTCAACTTGTGTTTGAATTTAGAGCATAAATGATGTGTGTGTGATGAGAACAAAACCAAAACCAAAAAAAAAAAAAAAAACAAAAAAACCGAAAAAAAACAAAAAAAAAAAATTTTTTTTTTTAAAGGAGAAAATCATTCAATAATTGTATCAAAGTTGTTGAAGAAAAAAAAATTGCTTCGAATTTTTTTTTACTCATAAATTTCCTATGCCGATAATGAATATTCGATGTTGTTGTTGATTGATGATGATTTCTAATCATTGATAACCATCATCATCATCATCATCATTGATATATATATATATATTTGTTGTGTAATCGAAGAAACAAAACAAAAAAAAAAACACAGGAAATTGTATGAATGCCAATCGTTATTTGAATGAATATATATATTGACACTGGGCTTTTTTTTTGGCCTCATATTGTGCATGAGTGTATGAGTGTGTGTGTGTGTGTAATGAGTTAGTGTGTAAATCTTGAATAATGGAACAAATACTATTTTTGTTTTGTTTTTTTTTTCATTCGTCATCAAATATTCAGTAGCCACAAATTCTGCAACACATCATGTTTTTGTTTTGTTTTTTGTTTTTGTTTGTTTTTTGGCATGAGAGAAAAAAAATGAAATTTTTTGAAGAAATAAAAATCTTTTTTTCATGAAAATGAAAATGAAAAAAATAAATGAAGAAAGTGATGGCAAAACAAAGATAATGTAAAACAAAATCAATCAATCAATCAATCAAATTATAATGGTAATGGATTTGATGTGATGGAAATCTAATAAAATTTTGTTTTTTTTTTCGATTATTATTTTACAACATGTTTTTCTATTACATTTGAATTCTTTTCTTTATCTCTCTGTATGTCTTGTATTGATCCAATTGTAACTTAACATGTCAGTTTGTGTGTGTGTGTTTATAAGTGTAGTCATAGTATTATTAGTGTATTTATAATTGTAATGATCTTTTTTTTTGCATTAAACAAAAAAAAAAATTTACAAATTATCACTAACAATAACTGGTTGTTGATTACATTGATTGATTGATTGATTGATTGTTGATTAATTAATATCGATTATCCATAATGTTCATATTACAAATGTTATATATGCTTGTGTGTGTATATATATGAGAATTTAATTTGATGAAAATATTTCCTGTGATTGGAAAAATAATTTTCATTCTAGAATATGCGGAAATCTTTCAATATATCTTGGCTATATGAATAATGAACACCATTGATTGCCATCATCGTCATCATCCAATCCAATCAAACAAAATGGTTGTTCTATTACGATTATTGTTTGTTGTCGGTAGCCACGAAATTGTTTGAAAATTATATGTGTGAAAACAAAAAACACTGAAATTTCACTGATTACAATCTGTTTCATAACAAATGATTGGGTGTGTGTGTGTGTGTAGGTATGGGTGTGAGAAGTTTGATGATCATGATGATGATGATGATGATGATAATGATGATATAGATTGGCCATATATCAATAGTAATGATAACAATGGATGAAGATGGAGAAGAAAAAAAATTTTTTTTTGTTTGTTTGTTTGTTAACCGGAATACAAATGCTATAACAATCGTAATTTGATGTGTGTGTGTGTGTGTGTGTGTGTGTGAAGATTTTATCACTCCATTACAGGCGTCTATGATGGAGTATGGAGAGAAAAAGATGTGGAATTTTTTTTTTCGTTAGGTTAGAATAAATCTCATGAAAAACAGCAACAACAATGTGATTTGAATGTGTTCGATCCAATTATCAATAAATTTTTTTTTTATACAATTGATGATCAATGATAATGATATTATGATGATTCAATCCAATGAGATAGATATATAGGGCGAAGAATGAGAGCAAAAAAAAAAAAAAAATTTGATGTTGCCACAATAATGAAAAATGATGGATTTGTAATGTTGGTGGTGATATATAATAATAAAGTATAATATTCTCGTTGTATTTGTAAATCATATTGTTCGTTCAATACAAACAAATACAAATTTTTTTTTTGGGGGGTTTCTTCTTCTTTCTTCTTCATTGAATAAATTGAGGCAATGTTAGAGTATTGAACATGATCCTAAACAACTACAACATCCACTACTTCTATCTTTGCTTTTTGGGCAATTATCTGTATGGAAAAATGAAATAAAAATCAATTAATTTGTAATAATGAAAATCCATCAACAATACCTTGTGAATTGACTTTGGGTAAATGTTCTCTGGGCACTAGATGCATGACTGTCGTTTTGCCTAATGGTAATTGTAAAACTGTAATTGAAATTTCGAAATTTCACATCCGAAAAAAATGAACCAAAAAAAAAAATGTTAAAAATGAACATCATTATCATCAGAGAAGGGGAAAAAAAAAAATACTCACTCCCTAATGTTACATTTCCATGTAGAAATCTGCCTTGAAAAATTAATCGTAATATTTCCGGTTTCGGTACAGCTTGATCGGCCCAATCTAGTGTAAAAATATTATTATTTATAGATTTGAATTTTATATAATGATGATGATGATGATTATTATTTCGAAAAAAAATAAAAAAAAATAATACCATCAGGCCAATGATTGAAAACAAATTGAGCTATATCTGCAGCCGAATCACTGGGTCTATGTGTGTATGTACGAATGAAAAGAAAAAAAAGGATTAAAAACAGAATTTGAAGGATTAAATAAACTTACGAAAATATGAAATCTTTTGCTTTACCACTTTCACCATATGCTGGCATTATTAATCGTAAATTAATCTACCAAAATCAACGAAACGAAACGATAGAAAATTTTGTAACAAAAATAGAAAAAAAAATCAATTCACATCATACCTTATCCGATGGTATTGTATCGGCCATTTTTTTCCAACTGATATAACCAAATAGGAAACCATACACACACAAACAAGAATGACAGGAAAAAAAATTCAAAGAATTTGAAAAACAAAAGACAAAAATGATGATGATCCAGAGAATGATTGGTTTTCACCTCAAAAGTTACAAATTATATCGATTTTAATTGATAAAATTTGAGAACAAAAAAAAATGTTTTCCAATTTTAAAACACTCTGTATTGTATATATATTTGCAAAACAAGAAAAAAAAGAAAAGACAAAAAAAAAAAAAAAATTAGTAAAAAGAAAACAAAAAAATCAAAAAAACCACAACAATAATAATAACAACAGCAACAACATATAACAATAATATAATGATAATCAGTAGCAGCAAACAATGACAAAAAACAAAACAAAATGGGCGGCCCAGATGATGATGATGATGATGTTTTGATAGCAAAAAAAAAAAAAAAAAAAAAAAAGGGCAGCTAGGTAATCAGTGAAAAAAAACTTTTGTTGTTGTTGTTGTTGTTGTTGTAATCAAACAGTGACAGAGAAAAGTTCAAAAAAAAAAAAATATGAAGAGGAAATTTTCTCATTTCTTTGAATTTTTTTTTTTTTGTCTCATATTTCGTCAAACTTGTTATATATTTTTGTTGTTGTTGTTGTTTTTTTTTTTTTAATTTGAATATATACATTCCTCATGACAAAAACCATAGAGCACACACACACACACACACACATGGAGAGAGAGAGATATTCTTTGAGTACAATACAAAATAAATTGCAGCTGATAAACAAAACCAGGAAGAGAGAATGCCACCAATTTTTTTTTCACGTATATGTGTGTGTGTGTGTGTGTGGATAAAACAGTTCATCCAATTGTTTGTGTTCGGTCAAACGGAAACACACACACACACACACACGACAGAAAAAGTCAAAGGAAAAAAAATACAAGAAATCAATTTATGTTTGAGTTTTTTTTCTTCTCTGGTACATTAATATATTATATTATATTGTATGTTTGTTTGTCTGTTCTGTTTTCTCTCATTGTATTTGTGAAATACTAAATTCATTTTTTTTTCGTTTTGTTTTGTTTTATTTCAAAGACATCCACACATAGGTATGTGTGTGTGTGTGTGTGTGTGTGTGTATGTCTCCGGTATTCATATGTTTCATTGTTGTTGTTGTTGTTGTTGTTGTTCGATCTCAGTACTATTCATATTCGTATTTGTCAATTGAAACAAATCAAAGAGAAAGAAACAAAAACAAAAGGATTTAAATTTGAAAGTTTTTCAAATACGATTACAACAAATGTAGAATTAGAACAACAAAATGTTATGATGATGAAGAAAAATGATAAATAAACATATGAATAATTGAAAAAAAAATCACCAAAACACACACATACAAACAAATGGAAATGACCGGGCATTATAGATATTTAAATATTAAAAAAGTTTTGAAAATAATGATGACAAATTTTTTTTTCTTTCAAAATAATCATGGCCTATTTCACTTTATGGTGATGATGATGATGAGCGAATTAAAATGATGATGATGATGATGATGATGATTTTGTTGTTGAACAAAAACAACAAACGAAACACAAACGAAAAAGAAAAGCCGATTTTATTTTATCTAGAAAAACAAAAATAAAAACAAGTAAATCACATTTTACAAGTTACATAATGTTTGACGTGAATGAATTTTGAAAACAAAAAAAAATTTGAAATCTGCTAATTATTAGATGTAAAAAGAATCAAAAAAAAAATCATCACCAAAATAAATTACATTCATTGGTGGTGGGGTGGTGGCGATTGTCGGAATTCAATCACATTTGGAGATGAGAAAAGTAGCCAGTATACATGTATATATGGATTATTAAAAAAAAAACAAGAATGAACACAGTAATAGTGTCAGTAATTTTGCTGCGAAATATCAAAATCAAAAAATAATAATGTGATTTTTTTTGGGTCTAGGACAAATAGACACACACACACACACACACAGACAAACAGAGACACAAACATTTCCCTTGGTTACATTGTTGAATAATAATAATAATAATAGAAAAAAAGAGACAAAAAAAAGAAATAAAGAGAAAGTGAACGTGAAAAAAAAAAAAAAACTTTTAACATTCATATTTCTATGGCCATGATGATGATGATGATCATCATCATTATATGAAGATGATGGCAATGACCATGTGTCGATGTCAAACATTTTTTTTTTATCCGCCAGGTGAATTTCATTGATTCAATTTCATTAAATAAGGAATCATAAAACAAAAAAATGACCATCAGACATTATAATCATTATATCTTGATAATAATAAGCTATATATCATCATCATTATCATTATTATTCAATAAAACAGAACGAAGAGTGAGAAACAAAAAAGTGAAAACAAAATTCATTCATGTCCTTGTCTTGTTCATCATCATCATCATAATAATTATTATTAATAACAAAAAAATGTACATTACAAGCAAATCTATATTATACATATATACATTGTATGATGAACAAAAAAAAAAATTGAATATATGTCTGCATATATATGTAATAGTTCAAGTATAGAGTGATTGATTGATTCAAAATGATGGGTTGAAATTCATTTCATTATTTCAATCAATGATAATGATGATGATCATTGTCATCACCAATATAATTCCTGAAACAATGTCACAATAATTTTTTTTTGTTTTGTTTTGTTTTCAAATTAATTTTCATTATCCACAATTTGTTACAATAATTCTATTCTACATTTGTTCATTCATTCATTCATTTCGTTTTTATTATTAATTTCATACAAAAAAAAATTCCTTTTCCTGGCCACACAGGGAATTTCTATAGTATATTTGTCAACATAAAGAATAACAAACGATAATGTACATCTATTGTAAATAACAAACAAACATCGGTATAATTTTTTTTTATCGTTCAGTCAATCATCATCGTTTTCGTTGTTGTTGTCGTTGTCGTCATTGTTCATAAATCGATATTTTTCCACTTGGGATACAAATTATATATTTAGAAAAATGAGTTTGTATTGATTAAACACAAATGAATTGAAATGAAATGAAATGAAAAAAAGATAATGAGAAAAACAACATGATTCTTGAGAAAATTATTCTAAAAATATCAACTAAATGGCTTTACAAGTAAAAAAAAGGTGAAAGGGGATCTTTTCATTATAATGATGATGACAATATATAATAATAATAATAATTAATGGCCTATTTTTAGCATTAATATATATACCGGAAAAAAAATTGTCACCTGAATTTTTGAAAATCTATACACACAATGTATGTACACTAATTGTGTTGTGACAAAATGAATGAATGAATGAATTCTGCATATTTGAGCAAAATAAAAAAAAACAAAAAAAACCCAGTAATTCTATACAAACAAAAACAAAAACCCAGTAAATACAATGAATTATGATCAACAACAATCACCAGCAAAAGAATAATAATCTAGAAAATGATGGTGATGATGTAGGTATGGAGGCAAAAAAAAACAACAAAAACAATGAATTATCATTTTCTTTGCAGTTTTATATATGATGATGATGATGATGATGATGGGGAGCAAATCGAAAAAAAAATTCTTGGTAATTTGAAAGAATCTTGCACCTGGTGCACAAATATAAAGACATGATGACAAATGGAAAAAAGAAAGAAACAAACAAAGCATACCTTTAAATTTAAAGCATACCTTTAAATTTTTTTTCTCTTTTCACATTCATTCATTCATTCATTCAGATTCAAGATCGATCTGATTGATTTTTTTTCTTGTTTCAGTGTTTTTGTATAGTTTTCTCATTATAATCATTCTTTTTTTTTTTTTTCTTTTTTTTGGCTGACATATTGATCTAGGTTTGTTTATTATTGTTGTCATTATATATATATATATTTTTGTACGATATATAGTAATAATAATAATAATAAACTCATTATATTTCTTAACGAAAACAACAACAAAAATCGAAAAACTGGGCCAATCATTGGTAATTTTTTTTTTACTGCTTTTCTTTTCAGACTGATGGATGGAAGAAAAATATTGTTGTTATGCACAAATATATTATTTGGTAAATACGAAAATTAGTGGGCAAAAAAAAAACCGGGTCAAATATAAGACAAACGTAAACACACAAACAGACAGAGAGAGAGAGAGAGCATACATGAACAAAACTTGTTGACAACAAAAACTAGAGAATATTGAAAATATATGCACCAATAAAAATTGTGAATCGGATTAAATTGTTTGTGTTTGTTTTCATGTCTATGGGAATTTAAATTGGTAACGAATTTTCGTTTCACAATAATAATAATAATAATGTTGATGATGTTGATGACAAATGGCAATATTTTTCACTTTTTTTATGAAAAATAACCAAAAAAAAACCTAAAATTACAATTTAGGTTCATAATAATAATGATGATGATGATGATGTTGATGGTGTTGATGACAAAATAACAACAACAACAACAATAATAATAATAATGGAATTACAAATTTAATGGAACACAAAAAAAATAGTCAAAACAAAACAGTAAACAGCTAATAAAATAATTTCTACCATTGATGGAAACACACACAAAACTTTTCCATTTAAAAAAAAATTCGATGTACAAATCCATTATAATGGAAATTGACACATCAATGATACATTGATTCGATTTCGATAATCGATAGAGAGCAAAAAAAAAAGGACAATGACAATGTTTTTTTTTCGTTTTGTTTGTCGATGGGAATATTCCGTCGTCGAAACCAAAAACCAACAAAAAAAACTAAAAATCATTCATAGAATTAATTAGAATATAATGACCTGAATCGAATTGATTCAAATACATTAATTTGATGAATCATTTATATATATTTGAATAGGAATAAAAAAACTGTTTGTTCTGTTTGCAAACCAATCAAATTACACACACACACACACACACGTGCGAGAAATGCGAAAAAAAAAAATCTTAGATAGTTTGTGGAGATAAAATTTTCTTTAAAAAAATATGACACACTCACACAACAACAGACAAGATAACAAAAATGTTCATCATCATCATCATCATACGATATGTGTATGATTTATGAAGAAAAAAAAAGATTCCAATTAATGATGAGATAATAATTTTCAATGATCATTAAGATTATTTTTCATTGGAAAAAAAACATAAAACATAAATGCACCAAAAACAGTTGATTTGAGGGGAAATTGACATGATTATATGACGACAACATCGACAATGATGATGATGATGATGGAAGCGGAAATGGAAATGACGGTCTAGATTTTTATTCTTTTACAATGCTAATGTTTCATTTCAATTAATTTTTCTTGTTAAAAAAATGAATCTTGATTCCAAGCTAATTCTTTTCCTGACAAATATATATATTTATGATGAAATCGATTGGTAGGAGAAAAAAAAATTGAAGAAAAAAAAAAAATTTTGATCTTGTCTTGTCATGTCATTCATTATGAAAGGAAATCGATCAGTAATCAGCTCCAGCAACAAGCACACACACACACATACAGTCAACCATTGTTGATGATGATAAATCAAAAAAAAAAACAAAAATCAAACCTATAATCAAAATTATCATTTCCAGTCTAGTCGAATCGATTTTTTCTCCTTCTTCTTCTTCTTCTTCTAATTCTATAAATGAAAGTAATAAATAGAAAAAATCTAAACTCTTCATTCATTCATATTTGATAATAATTGTCGTATTGATTATCATCATCATCATCATCATCATAATCATAGAACATGCAGTTCGAAAATGCAATTTTCATCCTAATGTTAATATCAACAACAACAACAACAACAAGAAAATCAAAAAACAAGAAACGAAATGGTAAATATTATTCACAAATTGTAAATGAAAATCATATGGTCCGATTCTTGTTTATATTGTAAAATAAGATTAACGGAATGGACTAGTGAAAAATACAAAACGAATAATAAAACCTTCACATCATCATCATTCAATTCGATTTTAATTTGAAAAGTGTGTTTTTATTATTATTATTTTACATATCGAACATTCTAGACACATATAAACACAAACAAACATACACAACGAAACATTATGATGATGATGATGATGATGATAAACCAAGGACAATAAAATTTTCTATACTATGGTTCAATTTATTTTTCATTGATTGATTGATATTATATATTGTAATATATCTATTATCATCACACACACACACACAATCACTGGCTGATTGATTGGTTGGTTGGTTGGTTGATTATGGATGTATAAGGGGTTTATTTATACAAATTTTGCAATCAATCACCAACTATACGAATTGGTGACAAACATTCATTCGGGTTAGTGATTTTGTTAATGTTGTTAATGATAATGTTGATAAGAAATGACAAAAAAAAATCATGAAATGAAGAAATTTCAAATTTATATATACCCCTTATATTATAATCAAAAAAAAAAAATGTTGTTGAATTTCATCAAGCAGACAAAAAAAAAATTATATCCGGATTATATGACATGACAATTTTTTTCCGGAAAAAGATATAGATTTATCATGCATTTAACATTCGAAAAAAAATCTTTTTTTTTTTGCTTACAAATCCGTTTATTTCAAAAGATGATCGAAATTGATTGAAATAAAATGTAAGCTTTTACTTTTACAAAAAAAAACGAAAGATTCAATAAATTCAAAAATAGCAATTTCCTGTTAGTTAAAAATAAAATTCAAATATTATTATATTGAATTCGAAACACGGAATCGATTGATTGAATAAAATAAAATAAAATAAAATAAAAAGATTGTGAACGGAAAAGAAATTATTACTATTATTATTCAATGGGGAAAAAAGATGCAATTGATGATGAATGAAAAGTATATATTTTGATTGATTTTATATGATGAAAATTGATCAAAATTAAGGTGAAAGATAAATCATATATGAAATGATGATGATGGTGGAACGACAGAGAGAAACAAAAAAAAAAAAAAAAACATTCACATGATAACAAAGTTCACGGATTATAAGTAAATAAATATATACAGTCGTACAAAATATGGACACAGAATTGAATATAAAAATTTTTTGGTTTTTTAAGAAAACAAAAAACTTGAGATTGGCTTTTACCCGAAATTCTTTTAGTTTTTCTTCTTGTGATGTTGTTGTTGCTGTTGTTAATGGCTTAGTTATAACAGTAATAGAATGAAAAAAAAAATTCTATGTGATAGTTGTGACTAGATTTAGAGTGGTTTCTGATTATATCCAGTCGCCAATGTATCGCACATACACACACACACACACATACACAGTGTATATTTTAGATTATTATAATAAATAGAATATATTTTTTTTTTTCTTTGTTTTGTTTTGTTTCTTTCATTGTAAAATAGAATTTTTATACTTAGAGCTCATTCATTTATATTTAACTGGAATAGATTCACACAACTGTTATAAAGAGAGAGAGAGAGAGAGAGAGAAAGAATTTACGGTATTGGATGATGCGCATAAAGAATTTGTTGTTTCATCTTTTCTCTTTTTTTCAAAATTCTCATTCAATTCGTTATAGTATAGTCGATTATTTTTCCATAATAATAATAGTATAGTAGTAGTAGTAGCAGTAATAATATAATAGTAGTATAAGTAGGTAGTAAAAAAAAGAATATAAAGATTTTGATGATGCCTCCTTGAATGATATTTACAAGGAGAATGAAAGCCAAGAATTATTTGGCCTAGAATTATGATTCTTTATTATAAAGGCAGAAACAAAACCAATTCTTGAGTCAGCGCAGATAGCTATTGAATCAAATGAAAACGAAAATTCCTTTTTGATATGGATGATTGGTTTGGTTAATCGTCGTAATCTTTAGTGAGCAATGTCGATGTTTATACGATATAAAATGACGCGTGGGCCGTATGGCCTATCTCTATTAACAACCACCTATAGGGAAGAGACTTGGGACACACTTTTTTTTTCATTGACGATTTTATATTTAATTTTTTTTTTCCATTTGATTTCACATATTCGTGGTCATTTTTTTTTTTTTTTTGCTTTCCCATATACTTTTTGGTACATTCATGCATGCATCCAGAAGAGAATGATGCGTGAATGTAAAAAAAAAATTCTTTGCCATAAATTCATATACAAGAAGCAAAGCCAAACCAACCAGGTTTTTTGCTCCATAAAAAGTGCAGTAGCCAAAAACAAAACAAAAACAGAAAACAGAAAAAAAACATAAGATAACTGTATACATACGGATATACAAAAGTGTGTTCGAAACAAAAGATATATGCGCAAAAAATTCCAGATTCGTATAAATTCTGTTGTTGTTGTTGTTGTTGTTGTTGTTTTTTAACGTCAATACGTTTGTTCTATATATTTGTAGATGGAAATTATTCAAGATTCAAAAAATGAAATTAGTAATTTCAGTCTGAGTCGGTGTCAATTTTCAAAATGAACGATTATTATCAATGATGATGATGATGAATGAAGAAGGATTTTTTTATCATTAATGCCATCAATAATAATCAAATCAATAATGATAACTCCATGATATGCATACAAGAAAACAATATATTTTCAACATTCAATATTGATGATGATCAAAGAAGACAATAATGATAACAACATATTTGATTTTTTGTGTTTATTTATTTTATTGATTTGAAATTTTTCTTTCTGTTTGTTTGTTCATTGGTTACCAGAAAAAATAGAGCGGTAAACAATTTTCTAATGATGAAATGAAATAAACAATTATAATAATATATACATTACATAATTCATAATAATCGAACAGCATCAATTTTCTTAACAATAACAAATGATGATGATGATGATGATGATGAGTCAATACGATATATACACAATGGAACAATATATCATCATCATTGGGGTTGTTGTTTGTATGCCACAGAGAGTTTACCAATTATAATGAGTTTTACGTTTGTATATTCAAATTATTATTATAATGGAACAATACCACTACTAATTTATTACCACTACTACCAATGGATACGAATTGTGCTATTCATCGATAAAGTGACTGAAAAAATCAAAATAAACAAAACAAATCCACATTCAATTTATTTTCAAAAAAAAGAAGAAAAGAAAAAACATTCGACATTTTGGATTCATTTTTTTGACCTTATTCATTTTTTTCTCTATTTATTCATATTTTTTTTTTGATATATAAATTTGATGATGATGATATGATGTTTTGTTTTTTTTTCTCCTGTTTATACAAAAAGGGTATGTTGATTGCATGATATTTTCATTTCATTCTTTTTTTTCTGATTTGTGTTATATTAGTTTCATATAAATATCGTTCAAATTGATAATAATAAGCATATATATCGGTTTTTGTTTGTTTGTTCAATAAATTCACACGACAACTGTAATTGACTGATAAATTTCCTGGAAAAAACCCTCAATCATAATATTTTGAATCAATGAATTTATTTAAACAATTTATATATATACAAAAATGAACTTTTTCACAGTAATAACCGATATATAATCGAAATGTTTTAATCAGTAAAAAGAAAAGAAATGGTTTTTGTTTTCTTGTAATTGTTATTGCATCATACATGAAATATATACCTATATCACCTATCATCAATCAATGTGTAATGATGATTGAAATCATAATTATTAACAATGATTGATCAAACCTGATGAATATATATATTTGTTATTATTATTTCCTTTCATACTCAGTATTGCTCACATACACACACACACACACACACACACACACAGTTACAAAAAAACATTTACAATTTCACTATTTATTTTCATTTTTTGGCTAAATGCCAAATGTTTTTCTTCAAGGATAATGATGATGATGATGATGATGCTGTGGCATCCTGTTTGATATATATATATTATTTTGATTTATATTCATTGCAAATTTTTCCATTTATTTTTATTTTATCAATTTTACATTTCAACCACCACCACCACCATTACCATCATCATCATCTTATGACATTTGATTTATTTCATCATTGACATTCAATTTTTTAAGGAGAGAGAGAGAGAGAGTGAAAAAAAAATGAGAAAGAATAAAACTATGGTGATCAAAAAAAGAAAAAGAGAGAATGTAGTAGTTTGACTTTTTTTTTCTTCATTTTCACAGTTATTCAATGTCTACATGTAGATAAGTTTGTTGAATGTTTGTGAAAGAAAGACATAATAAAATGTAAATGTCAACAACGTCAACAACAACAACAACAAAAAACACCGTTTCTGATTGTGGATGTGCTAAGTAGCTGGATAGTGTTGATGTAAATTTTTTTTTGTTTTTGCTTCATATTGTAAGTACATGATTATCAATTTTGTAAAAAATCTTATCGATTGTTTTTTTATTCTTATTTTTTTCTCTTGAATACTACAGATTATAAAAAAAATGACAAAATTGATCAAATATGATTATGCTGAAATGTCCGAAATTTTACCCGGATTATATCTTAGTTCATTGGATTCTGCACTTGATTCACAAACATTGACAACATATTCAATTAAAACAATCGTATCGATATTATCAAATCTACCGAAATTCAATCGAATTGATTCAATTAATTATTATTTTATTGAATTAGATGATGAAGAACAACAAGATCTACTGGTATATTTGGAACGAACATTTCAAATTATTGATCAATCATTAAAAAATAATCAAAATGTTCTTGTACATTGTGCATTGGGTGTTTCACGTAGTTCAGCTACCGTCATTGCCTATCTAATGAAAAGCCAAAAATCATCATCATTTAATGATGCATATCGTCTAGTGAAATCAAAACGTATTATTATTGGCCCAAATTTTGGTTTCCGTCGTCAATTAGCTTTATATGAAAAACTTGAAGGTGATTTATCAATGACAAATGTTTGGATGAGACGTTATATATTCAATCGAATGGTACATTCATATTCTGATTCATATTATGATCATCAACAGCCAATACAATGTCAATCACGTAAAGCAAAAAATTTTCTAAATTATTTAAAAATGTTTCAAGAATATTTTCAACAACAAAACCAATCAATGTTGGTTTGTCAACCAAAATGTATTTATTATAAATGTAAATCATGTCGATCAATTTTATTCAATCAAAATGATCTTATTGATAATGAAAATGACCAGCAGCAGCAACAACAACAACAACAACAGCAGAATAACAATACAACAAATCGTCATGTATTGTCGACTAATAATGACGCTGATGGTACAATTCATATAATCATTGTAAAATGGATTGCCGATGATTTATTGAAATATTTTGATTCATTACAAAAATCTGGTAAAATTGATTGTCCAAAATGTCAAACTAAATTAGGAAGATTTGAATGGAATCGACCATATAATTATCGTCGTTTTATATATACAGTACAATATGATGATTATCCATGGATGAATGAAGTGATTGTACCATTAGTTTTATCAATTACACGTTCAAAAATTGACACTTACATTGTTCAATAATCATCAACGAATAACCGCAGCAATATCAAATATTGGTGATTCTTTCTTGATAAATTCTTAAAAAATTTTTCTATTTCTATTTTGCTCAAACAGTTGAAAATTGTTCATCAAAAAATTTTTTTATAGAAACATATTGATCACTAATTGATTAATTTATTGATTATAAAATAAATAAAATCTTTATTATTTCTTTATTAATTATAATAATAAAATTTTTGAATAAATAAATTGAAATTATATAACTGTGTGTGTGTGTGTTGTTGTTGCAAACAAAAACAAAAACAAACAAAACCAATTTTTCGATTACAAAATTTGTTCGTTTAAAATTAATAATCATCATTGTCATTGATAAATTATTGTCGTATATTACCATTGGCCAATAATCGTCCAACATCGAATCCAGGTGCATACAATTCAATCAATTGGCAATGAATCTTTACATGTATGGCTGGATCATTAACAATTTCACCATCACAATTCCAAACACTTGAGCTTAATATACATCGTTTTTTACGATTGGATTGTTTTTGTCGTTGAATATTTGATTTATATGAATTTTTCGATACACGATCAATATTAATTTCGTCATTAATAGCCGATTCATAACCATAATCACATTCTTCGAATGTATCGAAAAAATCACAATCGATAGATTTTTCAAACATATATCCTTTTCGTTTGTGTGTTGGTTCAACAATTGGATTGAATTCAAATTCACGAACACGATATGAATCGATAAAATCAAATTCAAACTATAAACGGGGGAAAAAACAGTGATGGATTATAATATTAAAAAAAAAATGAAAATCATTTCAAACACACTTACAGGACTTTTTGTATGAAAAGCAACGCTGAATAAATATCTTAGATATTGAAAACGTGAACATTTAGATACGAGTATCAGATCGGCACATCCATTTCCAACATGTGCCATTGGTGACATACCATATTTACTCATATGACAACGACCGGATACTATTGCCGAATTTATTGCTAAAAATCGTCCACGTATCGAGATACAAGCTGTAATAATATATGAAATCATGAAATATGAACCAAAAACAATACATACCAGGTGAATCATCGGCGCTCAATGTTTCTCTAGATTTGATTCCAGCTTGTTGACATGTTGAACAGCTAAACATAACATTGAATGATTAATAACTGAATGATTATGAATGTATTAAACTTACTTGATGCCACATGGATTATAATCTTTTGGTGAACCATCATTTGGTTCTAAACAGATTTTTATCTCACCACTATATAAACGATGTTTGAGAAATTTTTTCACACCAGCCCAATCATAACGTTTTGTACCCATCCAACGGATTCTTTCTGATTCACGAATAGTGTCACCAAAAAATCCATAACCCATAAATGAAGCCGTATATCGAATCAGCTGTTCTTCATCACGATTATGAACAGCACCAACATCAATATTGATTGTACGTCCCAAAACGATTGATATGATCGAATGAATGGGATCTTTATGGCCACAAGTTGCATAAACAACAGCATCCGTAGAACCAGCCGGTACAATTCCTAGTTTAAGTGCTGGTTTTTTTAACATTGCATCAATATTACCATAATTGATTTGATTTTCACGTTGTGTACGAATCAATACACCATTCAATACTTCGCCAAACATACCATCACCACCAATACATATTATGCCATCATAATCATTCAAATCAGTCGTTTCGGCCAACAATATTTCTTTAGCCTGATTAGCATGTTCAGTGATTATAACATTCGAACGAATACATGATATATTCAAAATTGGTTTAATTTTATTTTCAAATATTTGTATTCCTTTTTTATTTCCACCATATGGATTGATAAACAATAATAAACGTTTTGGACGATCAAATGCTATAATAATAATAATAATTCAATTTGAGATGAAAAAAATTCATTGAATTCATTTCAAATATAATAATAATACATACATTCTAATTTTGTACGAATTGAATAAGCAATTTCTGTTAATAATTGTGTTTCACGATGAATAGCAATATCATCATCATCATCATCATTATTATTATTATTCGATGAAATTGATTGAATTGTCATCGATGCTGATGCCGATGATGATGATGATTGTCGTTGTCGATGTTGATCATCATCATGTGTACTAAGTGTCAATAACTCTAAACGGAAACCGCCATTTTTGTTTCGTGATGGTAAATCATATATAGTATAATATATTCGTACCATAAATGGTGGCTGTTTTTTAGAAGGATTTATCATTGATTCATGACGATTTTTTGTTACCATTGTTGATGATGTTGTGATTGATGATGATGATAACGATGATTGTGTTTGTAATTTAAACTCATTTTCAATACAATTACATGATAATGGTATTGATGATCGATGGCTACGTTGTTTATGACGTCTTATACGACATGAACATATCCAAACGGCCATCATATCCGATAATTTTATGGTCACACGATCTTTGATATAAATCAAAGCAAAAAAACAACAAAAAAAACAAAAGGATGGAATGTGTTAATGAAAATTATAAACTAAGGATTTATGAATATTAAAAAAAAAAAAAAAAATATCACAAAATTGTTGGCCATGAATTTTTGTTTCTTACTTCAACGAAAAGGAAACAAAAAACAAAATGATCCATCTCAAAAATGTTTTTTTTTCGTTTTATCATCATCAGTTCCAGTCATAGTTGGACTGATGATAGAAAAATGCTTTCCGTGAAAAAATTAGTTACTTCAATTGTTATTAATTTTCATGATGATTTAATATAATGAAAACGATGATGATAATAATAATAATAATAATAATAATAACAACAACAACAACAACAACAACAACAACAACAAAAGAAAAAAAATAATAAGATATTGACATAGACAAGGTTATTATTAGTCAATCAATTATAAAACCTCGTCATTATATCATCCATTCATTCATTCATTATGTAACATGACAAAATGGACAACTAGCAAAAGTTTTTTTCTGCTGTTTTCTGCTTTTTTTCATACATTCAATTTACCTTCAAAAATTTTTTTTTTTTCATTTATCAATCAACTGTAAATATTATCAATGATGCTAATTATTTTATTCCTATGGAACGGACATTAAAAAACACACGCACGCACGTACACACACACACACAGAACACACATCTGTAGATGGAACACATGGTCAAATTATATTTATTTTTTTTTCAAAGAAGAATAAGAAGAGGAAAACAAAAAAAAAAAACAACTTCAATGAATTTTTGTTTCACTTCAATTCTAGTTTTCTCGTATTCCTAATAAAAAACAGAAAAAAACATTAACATCGTTTCAATGACAAGTTATTGATGTTTGTTTACTGATTTTTTTTCATCATTTTGCTATTTTAATGCTTGAAAGCAATGGCAACAACAACAACAACAGATTAAACAAAGATGTTCGCTGAAGAATGAGAGAAAAAAAAGGCAAAAAGAGGCAAAAAAAAATTTATATGGCCTTTTCATTATATAATCATAACATCCATCAAAATGACAATCAACAATTATTTTAATTCATGGACTTGGCTTTTTTTTGCGTTTTTTTTTCGTTTTCCGTTTTGTTTTGTTTACAAAGTATGCTATTTTGTGCCAATTTTTTTTTGTTTTGTTTTTGATGACATTCCTGACGTTAATTTCAAGGAATTTGTTTTTGCTTTTCATATGTATGTGAGAATGTTTTTAGCTTCAAAACTTTTTTTTTCTATTTGATTCTTTACACAGGTAAACACGAGCACGTGTTTAGCAATGTGTTTTTACAATCAATCTCGTCACTGATGAAAATGATGGGAAAAAAAAATTAATCCATAAAACAAAATTGAAAAAAGAAAATTCATATCTAGAACGAGGACAATATATCTTTCATCCAATGACTGTTGGAAAATATTGAACCAAATTTAAGGTGAAGCGAGTATGAAAACAAAAAAAAATTAAAATTCATGAAAAGAATCTGATCAAAATTCTAAGTGGAAAAAACAAAACAAAAAAACACTTCTAATTATTATTAATTTTTTTTCAACCGAATCATCATCATCATCATCATCATCATCTTCATCATCATTATTGACAGTCATCATGCCTTGAACTTTAACGATTATAAACGATGTGTGTTTATTTATTTAATCGGATAGAATGAACAAAAAAAAACTATAACTATAACAATGATCAACGAACTTTATGAAAACAGATTCTTCCGCAAACAGGACAATGACACAAAAAAAAACCTGTGCAAGAGTGTAAAAAAAATACAACAAGAACAAGAACAATGAACCACATGCTCATCATCATCATCATCATCATATAAATACCGAACAATTGAATTTTGAGAAAATGATTTTTTTCCTTCTACTTGTCCTTTCTCTCTCTCTCTCTCTCTTTTTTTTAAATGTTATCTAGTTTTAGAACAACAACGAAAAAAAAACAAACAAACAAAATTCTTCATAGGACACAAAAGAAAACAAATATTACACAAATGAATGGACCATTGACATTCAAAGACAATTGATTTATGGATTTAATCAACTTATTATATATATTCAATGAAGATGATTGAATGAATGAATGGATAGATTTATTGATCGATAAATCTTTATCAATTGTAAAATCAAAGATGTAGTTTTTTTTTCTTATCAAGGTCAATCAATAGCCAAACGCCATCAAATAAATTGATTGTTGTTGTCGTGTGTGTATGTGTGTGTGTATATATGTATGATTGAATGAATGATCTAACATGTCAATCACACACACACACAAACAGGACAATATGTCAAATGATGGTGAATGTCGAGGACATTGTCATCATCATCATCGTGAAACAAATTTTTTTGGACATTAAGTATGTTTATTTATTCATCATTTATTTATACACAACACAAAATGAAATGCTAAATGTGACTGTGAACAATGGACATATTTTTTTGGAATCCATTTTGAGGCATTCATATCAATTGTCATAGACTCATGTGACAAACACACACATATCCAACAAATAAAACAATCGAAAACATATGGTTGATTGACTTTGTCATCGATTAACGATAAAAAGAGAGAAAAATACAGAGTCTACAATCGATTTAGATTATGTCACACACACACACACACGATTTTGGTCGGGTGTCAAAAAAGAAATTTTTCTCCTCTTAAATCCAAATTACATATTGTTACATGATAATTTCGTTTCTTTTTCATTGTAATTCATTTATATATCTAATCTAATAATAGTAATTGAATGTGGTGATGAAAAAAAAAAATGGTCACAATCCACTTACCATTATTATTGGCCAACAATGTTTTCGTTGTGGTCAATTCAGGTTCAAATGCCAAATATTCACGATTATACATAACTAAACAACGTTTATTGTTTACATAGAGGCTAACAAAACAATTTTCTGTTTTTGGTTGCAATTTTGAAACCATTAATTGTACTGGTGCAGTTATTGTTCCAACAATAGGAAAAGAATTTTGTTTCAAACGATTTTGTTTTGTTATTTTAAATTCATTTTTTCTTTCATCATCAACAATATGATCATCATCTAAATTGTCTGGTTCAAATGCCGAATTATATTTCGATGTTATTGATAACGGAATCGATGATGATGATGATTTTGATGATAATGATAATTTTTTTTTCTTCATAATTTGATCATTATCTTGTAGTATAACGGATTTTTCTTTAACTTTATAGCCAATATCATCATTAGATGATGATGATTTTTGTTCTTGTTGTGATGGAATTGTCAACATTGTCTGATTTTGTTGTTTTGTTTTATTTAAATTTAAATTTAAATTATTATTCGATTTCTGATTTTCGACAATATCATCACGGTCACTATCATCATGACGATTGGATAAATCTTCACAAGTAGACGACGACGATGATGATGATGATCTGACGACGATGTTGGTGATGATGACGAATAATTTGATGTAGATGACGCATAAGTGGTTGAAATTGATGATGATAATAATTGTCGTTTGTTAGAAAAATCATCATCACTATTTGATTGTTTTGCATGTGAATAATGATGTTGATGAATAGGTATATGTCTTGTTCTTGTTGTTGTTGTTGTTGTTGGTGGTACTGACTCAATATTGACCGTCTTTACATTCATCATTATTGATCTATGTTTTATATGATGATCATTATTATTGTCATCATAATCATCGCTTTCTGAAATGTCCGATATCATTACTTTAGAATTTGTTGATGTTGGTGATGACGATTTTACTTTATTCACTGTATATGAATTGCTGGTTTTACGAAAACCATATAAAATTGATGATGAAGACATGATTGTTAATGAAAATTTATTGTTGCTGTTGTTGGTTACAGGGAATTTTGATTGAGGAAAATAATTTTTCTGTCAATAATTCAATTTGATTGGTACTTCCTATTTTATATTAGTATTCCTAGTATCAAAATGGCAAAAAAAAGAGGAATAAAAAAATTTTAAAACACGTAAAAATTCAATTAAAATAAAAAAACTGTCTTTCATCCATCATTATAACATAAATTCATGTGTGTGATTCATTTATTGATTTCAAAATACCAGTGTATCTGTAATGAATTCTGATTTTTCCGATTAAATCTTGTGATTTATAAATTCTGTAAATTAATATGAAAAAAATTGATTTCGTTGATAATTTTGATTGAATTTTGGTAGCAACAAAAACATAGTTCACACACACACACACACGAAATAAAAATTGAAAGAAAAACATTCAGACCTTGCCGATGGCCATAATATTAGTAGTGGCCATCTATGAATGAAGTTTGAGGTAAACACAGAAATAATAAATTGATTGATGATTGATGAACTTTACACCTTTTTTTTCATTTATTACCACTTGCCATTTAATAGATATAAATTCACATGATTTAACATGTTTGAATTTCAATGTCAATTTTGCAATGAGTGTATTCAGTGAATGAAAAAAAAAAATTCAATTAAATCATATATTTGAATGGAATGAAAATTAAATTTCGGTTGTGTTTTCTTCAATCTCATTATCTATTAGTAGTGAATGTAATGTTTAATATTATCTTGTTGTTGTTGTTGTTGTTATTGTTGTTGCTGTTTTTTTATTGTTCTCTGTTGTGTATTTATCGATAATAATTTTTATTTATAAAAAATTTTTTTTTGTTTCTATTTACCACACATCTTAATTACAATCAAATTTATGCATCAATAAATACATGCACACACACACACACACACACCCAAACCCGTTTTTAACATCATCCTCATCATTAATCGATGCAATATAACTGTATAAATATTTGAAATTATCATTTTGGATCCTTGAAATGAAATTAATGAAAAAAAAAAAAAAATTTTTACGACAATACCAAATCATTAACTATAGTTCAAGGCAAATTTTTTCTTTTCATAATGATGATCCAATATAAATTGATTGAATCAAATTTGAAAAAATTTTTTTTTTGTAATTTTATGGGTATAGTATATATAGTATAGTATATTGATTTAATTTTTGAATATAAAAAAAAAAATTCATTCATACATACCGTTATGAATTTGAATTTCATTTGTCGTCATTTCTTGCCATTCTGTGTTCGTTCAGTTCAGTTAATATCGAGAAAATGTTTTTGAATTGGTGAAAAAAAATTGATTTGAAATGGAAAAATTTTTTCAATTACAAAAAAAAATGTATAATGATGATTTTCACTTGGTTACAATTAACAACAATGAATAACAACAACAACAACAACAACAAGAAGAGTGAAACAACAACAACAATTCTCTTTTTTTTCTAATTTGTCATTTTTTTGTTCAATGAATTAGATACCGACAACTTGATGTTCATGTATGTATGTGTGTGTGTGTGCAAATATAACGACATTTTAAATTGAAATAAATGAAAAAGGCAAAAGAAAAAAAAAATTTCCAATTCAAACCACCGAATGTAAACGACAAAATACACAAATACAATGAACACACACACACACACACACACAGATTGGCGATTACAGAAAAAAAAACACAACGTCAAATGTATAGTGTGGATTTTTTTCCCCATTATTTTTTTTTGTCGTTAAATACCACAATAATACAAACAGAAAAACATACATTCATATGATCAGTTCGTTTATTTTAACTTTCATTATATATTCTATTGCTCTTTTTTTTCTCTCTTTCTTTATGAAACACACACACACACACACACAAACACACACAATGCATACGAATCGATATATCCATCTCTTTTTCATATAGGCGCCTAGGCTAGGAACCTTGAATAATTTACACACACACACAAACACACACATGTATTTTGATATTTTATATGAATGAAAAAAAAAAATACAATGACTATTGCTCAATTATTTTTACTAATATTGTTGTTGTTGTTGTTGTTGTTGCTGTTATTGTTTTTGGACCGGCTGTTCCAACAATAACTGCTACTTTTTTTTTGTTGTATTATTTTTCTTTTTTGTGTATGAAGAATTCCATATACAATAAAATCTTGACAAAATTTGAGTTCGGATATCCTGCGTATGTGTGCGTATGTATAGTGTATTACAATAGAAAAATAAGAATCATGGAATCATGGAATAATTTCGACACATATATTTTGTCATGCTCGATGATTAGATTTTTTATAAATGTGCCCAAACGCATTTTAGAATTGAACGGATAAATTTTTTCTTTCGATTCGATTAATTTTCAAAATCAAATGGATTCGAATGTAAATCAAGTGTTGACGTTTTTTTTTTTTTTGGTAATCTGAGGTACAATGACATTAGATTTTGATTTTATTTTTTTTTTTTTTGGTGTGATGTGATGTGTACCGATTTTGTTGTTGTTGTTGTTGTTGTCTGTGTGCGTGTGTGTGTGTGTGTGTTGTTGTTGTTGTTGTGCACAGATTTATTGGATGTAATGGCGTCAATATATTGATGTTAACACTTTAGTGACGTAAATCATTTGATTTGTAATATTTTTTTTTGTTGCATTCGATTCGATAATTAAAAGTTTATTATGGGGAAAAAAATTGTCATAGCAATCACTATATGGTCAATGTTGGCCAAAAAAAAAATTCTTTGCATTATATAACATATTTAGAATGTGTGTGTGTGTGTGTGTGTAAATGTGTTAACCATGTGAAAGGAAAAACGTAAAATGGAAGTCAATTGTCAATCAAATTGATTGGTTTTTTTGTTCATTATTATCGACCCAATTTGGACATAAATTTTCAATTTGATACGTAATCAAAATGATTGGGATATGAATGAATTCATTATATTAAAGTTTTAATGCATTACAGTGTTAGTATAAAAGTTTAATTTCTTTTTTTTTCATAATCAAATTACACAATTTTAACAGAATTTGATATTTAGCATGAGTTTTAACCAGCCAATTGCTATGTAATAATAGTTTTTTTTGCTCATTGAATTAGAATTTAATATTACTATGAATCTAGGCCACCAGATGCCGCCTATGCATTTTTTACGACGATTTGCCATTTAACACTCGATCGGCAAGTGTAATATAAAATTGATGTTTTTTTTTATTATATATATAGAGTAAATTAATATTCATTAAGTATAATTAATAAAAATAATGATAAAAATGAATTAATGATGATGATGATGATGATGATGATGGCTATGAATTTATCAATTCATTCATGAATCATGATTGATGATGTACTTGATAATTTGAAATGAATCATCATATGATTAAAATACATATTCAGATACGATAATATAAATGAGTGCTTTACTCATACCACTAAATTTATCATCAGGATATAGGCTTATTGTCAATTCAAGATCAACATCTTGTGGTCCTTGCAGCGGTTCAATCAATGCAACAATAATCTGATCAGAACGTGGCCGTCTTAATATGAAATCTTCACGTTTAGCTGGCCGCACATCATTACGTGTTGGCCGTGCCGAATTCAATGTTAAACTATATTTAACACCAGGTATAGCGAATACTTTACCACCCAATGAAACTAGATCAAAATATTCCAATGATTTTGGTATTCGTAGATTCGAAACAATTGATAGATAATTGTATGAATAAGAAATTGGTTTGGATAGATCACGAAATCCCATAACACCATCTTGATGACGTAGACATCTAAGATGGATGGAAAAAAAATTTTTTCTCATCAAAATTTTGAAAATTCATTCGAAACTTACTTTTTAGTTTTCATTTCGAAAAAATATCCCTCCGGACAATCAATTGTAATACAACGATAACTGCCACGAATATTCAAACAGAATTCATTGTCCTGACAAACATCATCTTGTTGTTCACATTCATCAATATCACGACAAATACTACCTTCTTTTAATGATTCATATCCAGGTGGACATATACAACGAAATGAACCAGGTACGTTAATACATTTATAATAACATAAGGATGATTGTTGTTGTAGTTGCTGCTGCTGCTGCTGATGTCTTTGTTGATCATCAATCTCTGAAATACGACCATCATTCATATATTCATCATTATTATGAATTAGATTTGATGATGTATTAAACATTTCACATTCATTTTCATCAATACAGCTATGGCCATCATTATCTAGTTTATATCCAGAATAACATGAACATTTATATGATCCAATATAATTCTGGCAATGATGATGACATTTATTTAATGTTCGATTCTGGCATTCATCTATATCGATACATTTCATGTTAATATAGTTGATATTTTTATCATTATCATCATTAATGTCGATGAATATCGATGATGATGATGATTCGAAAATCTTTTCATCATTGATAATTTGACGATATCCTTGACGACATTCACAACGATATGATCCAATCGTATTAACACATTTTTGTGTTTCAGGATATTCACACAATAATTCATCACCTTGTTCACATTCATCAATATCTTCGCAGATACCATCACGTGTTGCAATAAAACCAACACGACATTCACAAGAATAGCTACCAAGACGATTTTTACAAATTTTATTCGCTGGACATGAATATGATCTTTCTATACATTCATCAATATCTTCACATGAATGGCCATTTATGTTCATACGATAGCCTGAATTACATTTACGGCTACAACGATAACTACCGATTGTATTTGTACATTTTTCATCAATTTTACATGGAGAATATTCCAGACATTCATTCATATCTTGACAACGTTTTTCGGTTTCATTATAGAAAAATCCTTGGCCACAATCAACAGCTTTACATTCACCTTCAATCATACGTTCACCAAATTTGCATTTATTCAATTGTTGTTTATTTGGTTTCATTGTACCAGTATGTTGATCGATGAAAGAATTTCTCATAGTTATGACGTCATTATTATTTAATATTCCATTTCGATTAACGGCTACATTGTTGGTCGGTATATCATCGGCAATAATTGGTTTTACGAATTTAGTTAACAATCGTGAATCTTGTCTAGTAGAATCTGTTAAGTCTTTTTCTTTCATGACACATTTATTTACAATTGGATCATGTATTTTCTTTTCAGAACATTGATGATAATGTTTTTGGAAATTTTTTCGATGTTGTCGTTGCCGTTGTCGTGTTAATGTTCGTTGTTGTTGTTGTTGTTGTTGATAATGATGATGATGAATACATTCAAATGAACCAATAGTATTCACACAACGCATTGTCGATGGACAATGACTTAATTTCTGTTCACATTCATCAATATCATCACATTCATTTGTTTGTCGATTCTTAATAAATCCAGTCTGGTATTGGAAAAAAAATTTTGTAAATTATGATGTAAAATTACCATGTAAATGTTTTTCATACCTTACAAAGACAATTAAAACTACCAAATTTATTATGACAGAATGAATTACTTGGACATGGACTAAGTGTTCGTCGACATTCATCAATATCTTCACAAATATTGAAAAATGGATTCCTTGAAAATCCTTCCTGACAAACAACCGGTATATTAGCCATTGAATGATTATCATGTTTTTTTCGTTCATTTTGTTTCATTAGGTTTGTATCATTGTTGTATGGATTCCATTCATAGAAATTAATATCAGAATCAGTTCCATTATTAATATCATCATCATTGAATTCGGCAATAATGTTTGTCATCTGTTTATTATTAGGTCGACATTTATATGATCCAGGAAAATTTACACATATATTTCGAGAAAGATCACAATTATGTTGTCCAATACGACATTCATCAATATCTTCACACATGCCACTGAATCGTACAAAATGATAACCTTTTGGACAAAGTGATATTGGCGCCTCTTTCATCGGGTATTTGTCGCCACTTTTATTTGTTGATAATAATAATCCGGAAATAGGTGCCAAAAATAATGATGATGTATTACGTGTAGATAATGTAAGTAAAGTTATATTTGGTTTCTCTTCACAACTAAATGTACCGATATGATTTTCACAATTTTCATGTAAATAATCACAATTATTCAATCCTTCAATACATTCATCAATATCACGACAACCGGTATCAAAAATGGTACTTGGACCTAAACGTCGAAATCCTTTTGGACATTCCGATCCAACTTGGATACATTTCCATGATCCAGGTATATTCATACAAACCTGAAAACGATGATTACAATTATGTGTTCCTTGTGCACATTCATCGATATCTGTGTGCGTGTGTGTGTGTGTGTGTGTGTTTGATCATGGAAAAAAAATTGATAAGAATAAATCAAATTCTCTTGAGGGAATTACAAAAACAAACAAACAAACAAACATACCTTTACATTGATTATAAGTATAGTTGAAATAGAAACCAAAAGAACATTCATCACGATTGCCAATAATATCTGGCTGTACAAGACCATCAGTCATTTTTGGTAAACATTGATAACCACCATCAGTATTTGAACACATTTCATATGCTATATTACAACCATGTGTTGATTCTTGACATTCATCATTATCGATACAGTTTTTTTGATCATCAGCAAGATGATATCCTTCCCAACATGAACATTTTATAGTATTATTATTATTATTATTATTAGCATCATGACAACGATGAGCACATGGTGCTGGACGAAGATTACACCAATCAATACTTGAATTGATTGCTTTTATTGTTTCTTGACAACATATTTCGGATGCTGCATTATTATATGTTTTTCGTTGTCTATATGTTTGAATGGCAATTTTTATTGCTGTTGAATTGTTGTTGTTGTTGTTGTTATTACTAATAATATTAATATCATCATCATCAATATTCATATCGGAACACCATTCTTCAATATTTAAATGAATCATTTTATTGACAACATCTTTTGGATTCCATTCAGAAATGCGTTGTATGGCTGATGCAAAACCAATCATACAGCCAACACAACAGAATGCTTGATCTGATTTATTCTTATCGATCATATGACATTGATAAAGTGATCGTAATAATGGCCAAAATTCATTAGTATTAATTCTAATTGTTTGGCCATCAATTTGTTGATCGACAATATTTTTTAAATAATCTTGTACAAAACGTTTTCTGATAAAATTCAAACCAATTTGTCGACAAAAATCTTGATCTGTTGATTCTAGACAACAATATGTGGTCTGTAATAGACAATGTATACGATCGATGCCGACATTGTTGATATTCGGTATCATATGACATTCATCACGGCCACTGAATATCTGTCCAGTTTTACAACATTCATCGCCTAATATTGAATGAATAAAAATGATTAGTTATGTAATGTGATCAATTAATCAATCAATCAATCAATTATTGATAATAATGTTTTATAGTACTAATACCAGCTTCAACAACATTGAACAAATATAATCCAATAATAATAGAAAAAATGATTGAGAAAATATCCATCCGTTTCAACGACAACATTATAAACACAGTATATTTATGTTCATTTATTTATAATTAATAAATAAGTGAAACAACAACTTGAGTGAAAAAAGAAAATTTATGCAAACAACTATGATTTCGAGATTCAAGCTTTTATATCAACGAAAACAAACAAACACACACACACACACCCCCCTCTCCACGATATCACAGCTAGCTAGCTGGCAACCATCAACCATCATAATGATCTGGCGACACATCCACATATTAATTCATAACGAATGTAGAATGATGATGATGATGATTATTATTATTATTCTTCTTATACAATTTGATTTGATTTGATTGTGGTAGTAGCTTTTTACTAGGCATATATGTTGATATTTATTTCAAAGAATAATAATAATAATCTTAGGTCATTTCTGATTGGTTAAATAAATTATGAATGTGTTTAGTGGTGGTGGTGGTGATGGTGATGGTGGCAATCATTTGTTCCAATCATTGGAATAAATATAAATTATTAAATTATAATAAATAAACATTATTCCAATTGATTATCGTTGTTGTTATGTATATTGTTCGAGGTCATTTTAATTGATTTCATATGATTTCAACAATGAAAACTATATAGTGATAGTGGAAATGATCTTGAAAACAAATAAACAAGCAAACAAACAAAAAAAAAAAAAAAATCATTCCAAATTGAAGATGTTCATCATGTTGGCCATTATTTTCATGGCCATAATTGTCACATGACTGGATATTTAATCGGATTTTTTTTCTTGTTATATATTTAATTTAATTTTAGCTACGGAAATGAAGTTTTTGCTTTTCCCATTATAAATTACCTTTAAAAAAACACACACACAAACAGTAGTTTGGCCAACAAAAAAATTTTCATTGTAGTAAAAGTGGTAAATAAAAGACAAGTTATTATTATCAAAATAACTTGACACGCGATCATTTCAGAATAGAAAACGTGTAAATGGTGGCGAAAAAAAATAGTAACTGAAATTAAGTGAAAAGAAAAGGAAAAAAAATAAAATAAACCCCAATGGAACCTTATAATAATAATAAAAAAACGTGTGGCGTTGTTAGCCGTCACAGCCTGTATGACGAACCCCTTGAGCCAAATCATATAAAAGGCAAAACATTCTAAATAAAGTTTAATCATGATACACACGCGAATAAACGTGCTCCACATTTTGGTGACCCAGTGATAAATTTTTTAATAATAATCAATCGAAATTTAAAATGAGCAAGAACGAAGATTTACTGAAAACGGTGTTTGAAAAGAATCCTGATGAAAAAACTGTTACAAGTAAAATTGAATCTGTGTCAGTAAAGCTTCAAGAATTTTGGGAATCAAACCCTGAAACGTGGTTGAAAACCGCCGAATATCAATTTCGTTTGGCTGGCATTAGCAATGAAGAAACGAAGTATTACCATATCGCATCAAGATTACCAAGTAAAGTGGCAGAAAGCATTTCTGACATTTTGAAATTCGATTACAAAAGGAATGTATGACGCATTACGAGACGCCTTAATCGAACGTTATACGCCATCAAGTACGGCAAGGTTGCATGCATTGTTGGACGAGAAAAGGGGCGATCGAAACCAGATTCATGCAAATATCGCTCTCGTAACAAACCATCAACATCCACCGATTCAAAAAACGAGAGCGCCCCCCCCCAGGGTGTAAACACTTTGGGTGGCGGGCAATCAACCAGATTATTCATTCGTTGCAATAAAACCTACTACCGATTTTTGGTGGATACCGGTTCTGAAGTGTCCACCATTCCTCCATCAAAATCCAAAAATTCGAAACAATCAAGGAGAAGCTTATTTGCAGCGAATGGAACCGAAATCAAAACATTTGGTGAAATTGATATTCAAGTTGATTTTTCGTTACGTCGAAATTTTTTTGTTTTACATTTATCATCGCCGAAACCAACGTACCAATCATCGGCGCTGATTTTCTTTCACATTTCAATTTAACACTAGATCTTCGTAAAAATGTCTCATCGATCTCAACACGCATCTGTCAACAAAAAGCAATATCAGCAATTTGCCAACAATCTAGTGTTCATACAATCACCGATCAAATTCATCCTATGGTTAGGGAATTAGTTTCCACTTTCCCTGCCATTGTCAAACCAAATTTTTCTGCTAAAAACATCAAACATTCTGTACGTCATCACATCATAACAAACTGCGAGCGTCCGATTACGTGCCGCGCACGCCGCCTAGCGCCTGATAAATTGAAAGTGGCGAAAGAAACATTCGAAAAGATGATGAGTGATGGAATAATTCGTACATCAAACAGCCCATGGGCATCACCACTTCACATGGTATTAAAATCAAACGGTACTTGGCGTCCTTGTGGTGATTTCCGATTATTAAACAACGTTACAGTGGCCGATCAATATCCAGTACGATATTTACAAGATTTTACGTCGAATCTAAGCGGCCGCGTGTTATTTTCAACATTAGATCTAAATTCAGCCTATTGGCAAGTGCCGATGGATGAAGATTCCATTGCCAAAACAGCAATTACCACACCATTCGGCTTATTTGAATTTTTACGAATGCCTTTTGGTCTAAGAAACGCAGCTCAAACTTTCCAACGTTTTATTGATGCCATTACACGCGATCTTGATTTTGTTTATGCTTACATCGATGATATTTTGGTAGCCAGCACCAATGAAAATGAACATAAAGAACATCTTAAAATGGTTTCGACCGATTACAGCAAAATGGTATTACAATCAATGTTAACAAATGCAAATTTTTCCAACCAGAAGTTCCGTTTTTAGGTCACATTGTTTCCAAGGATGGCTTAAAAACATTACCAGAAAAAGTAAAAGCAATATGTGATTTTCCGCGTCCAGAGAACAAAAGTCTCTTAAACGATTTCTTGGTTTCGTTAATTTTTATCGTCGATTTATACCAAAAGCTGGACATCTGATGAGTTCATTACATGAAATGGAGTGTTCCGAAATCGATTGGACCGAACGACGTATTAACGATTTTGAATCAATCAAAACCGCATTGGCTAATTCAACAATGTTAGCTTATCCAATAATCAATGCTAAATTGGTCCTTACAACAGACGCATCAGATAGAGCAATGGGTGCGGTCCTCGAACAAATAGTTAATGGTAATCGACAACCACTTGGCTTCTTCTCAGCTAAATTCAAACCATCTGAATCTAACTATGCTCCGTTTGATAAAGAATTATGTGCAATTTTTCGTGCAATCAAAAATTTTGAACATCTGCTGGAAGGTAGAAATTTTACAATTTTCACCGACCATAAACCAATATGTCAAGCATTGACCAAAATGACGAATCAAAGTCCTCGTCAATCACGTATGTTGTCATACATTGCTGAATTTACTATTGATGTACGTCATATTAGTGGTATTAATAATATTGTGGCGGACGCTTTAACGCGTGTTGATGCTGTTTCAACAACGATAACAAGTTTGGATTTATCCTCAAAACAAGAACAAGAAAAAGAATCAATTCAGCAATTTATTCGTATGAATCAACATCACCGTTTCAAAACAACAACGATTAATGATCATCAAGTGATTTGCCACGAAGAGTCGGGCAGGTTACGTCCTTTGTGCCAATAATAAAAAACGGTAAATTTGACAGTTCTTACAATTTACGTGATTCTTCTGTACATTCAGTAAATATTTAATGGTAACTTTCTTTGTATTGGATCTAATCTTTTTTTCTTGGTTCTTTTTTTTCTTTGGGAAGCGAACAAAAAAAAAACATGGAGAACAGTATGGATGTCTTTCTTTGAATCGGGCAAGTCGATTAATGTTTTAACAATTTTCATTCAGTTTACTACTTTATTCAGTAAAGATATATATATGGTATATCTGAATTGTATGCATTGTGAATGTAACAAAATATTTATATATATAAAAAAATAGAATGAGAATATTAAAACCATAATAACCTGAACAAGTATAAGTAAAAGAGTGACATGGAAAGAAAGTGCTTGAGAATATCAATTTGGCCCAAAATGAACATGAACTTGACAGACTCAAACAAACAAAAAAAAAACATATATACAGACACATCCATTCACTCTGTGTGTGTGTGTGTGTGTGTGTGTGTGTGTGTGTGTGTGTGTGTGTGTGTGTGTGTGTGTGTGTGCAATACCTTTTTTTCCATTATCAGAGTTTGAAAAACATCCAAAGCCCGCACGCACACACACACACACACACACACAAACATTGTCAAGAATAGTATTTAATTACATTTAAAAATGAATGAATGAATGAATAACTTTTTTTTTATCGAGCTTTTCATCATCATCATCATCATCATCATTATTATTATTAGTTTTGCCTATTGATTCATCATTACATTGATTGATTATCGATAAATTTTTTTTTCAAAATATTCACAATTAGTTAATCATGCACACATAAATATATTCTAGTCATGGAAAAAAGAATCGAAAAGTTAATTTTTTTTTTGAAAGAAAAAGAAATTGTCAAAAACGAACAAACGAAAGAAATGGGCTCCATATATTTATATATATATGAAAAACAAAAATGAGAAAAAAAAATGTTATGGCCTTTTTCATTCTCTTGGGTGTTTTTCTTTTTTCCGTGTTTTTGGCTGTGTATGTGTGTGTGTGTGTTTGGTAGTGATGCTATATTATTATTCCATCATCAAAGATGAGCGAAAAAAAAGAGAAAGCCTTTTAGGAATTGGCTCATTTAAAATGGCAAGAAAACCTGGCATCGTCATACTGACTGACAATAGCTAACGTTGTCTATAGACTTTATGTGTTTGAACACATTGAAACATGATGATGATGATGATGATGATGATGAAACAGCAAAAGTCTCAATGAAAAAGGTATCAACAAAAAAAGGATTCTATAGACACACAGATATAAAGATACTGAGAGATAGTAGATTCAATTCTTCTTTCAGTCAAAAAAATGTAGTAAATAAAGAATAGAATCAGAATCCATTTTTGTGTGTGTATGTGTGGCTTTAAAAAATACAATAAAAAAACCCAATAGATCATGCGATATTCTGTCGAAAATGCGTTGTTGTTGTTGTTGTTGTTAAATTTAGATAAATAGAAAAAAATGAGTATAGATCAAAATAATTCCTACCATTTAGGATTCATGATTGAATAAATTGTAGAAAAAAAAATCAAAATTTCAGTTTCGATTTTGTTACAATCCATTCGATTCAATTTGAATTTGATTCTAATACCCACGTTTGCCATTAGGATAGATTTTTTTCCCCCATTCTTTCTTTGTTCGATGATTCTGTTGATGACACACAAAAATGAAATTGACATGACATTGTGTCTCTCTGTGTGTGTGTGTGTGTCGGTTTTTGTGATGGGCAAACAATAATAATAACAGGATTATATTGAAAAAAAATATATCCGACCAAAAAAAACCTATAGCCATTGTTGTTGTGAAGCTTTCACAATGAGAACAAAACAAAACAAAACAAAATATACCAATGTGGAATGTAACAAAAAACAGAAAAAATAATGAATAACAAATACAATGGAACATAACAACACATAACAACAACAACAACAACACGACAACAACAAAAAATGAGCATTAAATCTAACAAATTGTCATTGTCAATTAAAATGTAATTTTGTCCTTTGTTTTTTTTTTTTGATTTTGATTTTGATTTTGATTTTCGTCGTTGTAGTTGTCTTTTGTTGTTGTTGTTGATTCATACAGTCATCATCATCATCATCGTATAAAGTTGACACGCAAATAAAAAGTACTAATCATTATTATCATTTGATGATGATGATGATGATGATGATGATGATGATAATGAACTGGATAGAATGAATGTTTCAAAAATATAAAATGGAAACAACAGGAACAAGAAACAAAAAAAATCCATCATGAATAACGGTAGCATTATAGAACATTTTAATCATGATAATCATGTTGTTGATGATCATTACAATGTATGGGCGTGTGTGTGTGTGTGTGTGCGGGTATGCTTGATGATTGAAATAAACAAAAAAAAAAAAAATCTATGTGCGCACATACACAACAACAAATAAAGTGATCTGATATTTTGAAACAAACAAACAGAAAAACAGAAAAACAAAATTATTCAAATAATGATGGAAATAGAATTTTGACTTGAATTATTATTGTGTATAGATAAAATCTAATTATCTCTTTTTGGATTATTTACACACACACACACACACACACACACACATACGCATAATATTGAAGTTTGTATGCAACAACAACAACAACAACAACAACAAAAAAATTTGTTGTCATGTCATTTATCATCATCACATGTGTGTTATGGCAGAATTTTTTTTTTTTTTTAGCTAAATGAAAATTCAAAATTTCAATGATAATGATTAATAATGACATGATTTAAAGTAGAAATGAAAAATTTGAAATTTTTTTTCAAATAATTACAATTCTAGCAAAAAAAAAAATTTGATTACCATTACAAAATTACAACAATTTTCAAGTATATGTATATATATAATATATATTATAACCGGAAATCCAATTTATGATTCGGAAATATTCAATGAATCTTTATGCTTGTTGTATAGAATTTGAATCTCAATCGACAAATGTATTGGAAATGTAAACGGAAACATTTTTCGTTTCGTTTTTAATGTTAAATGATACACATGATACTCACTCGGTTGAACATCATCATCATCATCATCATCATCATCATCATCGAGAGAGAGAGAAAAAACATAATAAAAAAAACGAGAAAAAAAACTTCAATGTTATCACATAAATTGAATCGTAATTTTTCTTCTACTAAAACACACCAACACACACACACAGATAGCTAATAATTTTTTCCATTTTCACTACTTGCTTATTTATTACACACACACACTTACACACATATTTATTTCCTACTCTACTCTGTATTCGTTTTATTTTTTTTTTCATTTGCTGATGTGTTAATGTTGCTGAAACATCACATATGGATCAATAAACGACCAGCAAAAAAAAAATATCATGATAATAATAATAATAAACTATACTCATACATTACATACATTTGAAGAAAAGAAAATGAAAATAAAAAATGAAAAAAAAAATTTCTGGCCGGTTGTTTGGCATCATCGTTGTTATGAATGAAAAAAAAAAAAAAAAAAAAAAGTAAAAGAAATGAAATGTTTTTTTTTTTTAAAAGAAAGGAAAATTTATTTTCTTCGTCAATACACCGACTCGATACATATAACAAATATATAATTTCGTGAAATACAAAACACATAAAAAGAGAGAGAGAGAGAGAGAGAGAGAGAGGGAGAGAGAGAGAGAGACACTCTCGAGATTCTAGAGTGTATAAGATTCTAAATAAAAAAAAGGCTGACTTGATAGAATTCTTTTGCGCCCACTCTCTTTATACGCATAAATAAATTCTATTTGGTTAGTTTGTTGTGTGTGTGTGTGTGTGTTGGTTGGTTGGTTGGTTGGACCAATCAACCAGGAGAAGATGAACAACAACAACAACAACAAAAATTCTCCAATCGTGAACACATAGTGGATGAACAAAAAAAATTTTTTTCTTCGTCTTTTTCGATTTTTTTTTCATATGTGTCGGTTCCTGTGTGTTTGGCTTACTTTTCTGGCAGCCAGCTTGACTTCAAAATCATCATATTTTTTTTTATTACGTTCGTCGTGTATGTGTGTGTGTGCATGTGTATTTGTTCAACATTTATTTAACTTGAATTTGCTGCTTCATTTAGAAGTCACGCCAATATATTGAATTGTTGTAGAATTGTAGATTACTGAATCATCATCATCATATTATGTATGTTGCGTCCACCAGAGACAAAAAAAATTTGACATTTGATCATTAAACATTAATGATTATGATGATGAAAATGATTGACAATTTTTTTTCAATCGTTTTACCGCTTTTTTTTCTCAGTTCATTGATCATTTTGGTTTTGGTTATTTGAATGAACACATTTTGAGTGTAATCGATAATGATGAGAAAAAACAAATCAATTGATTATTCATCAAATGATTAGGCCCGGTTGCAAAAAGAAAAATTGCCAATCCAATCAATTGACAAATTGTCCATCGATTAACTTATATTGATCAACAATTAACTTATTTATTTGATTTGATATTCATCAAATTTCATTCCATCATCATCATAAAAACTGGATAAATTTGATCAAATTCAATATATTATCCATGTGAATTACGTCCATTCGATGAGTAAACTTATCAATTTGATTGATATTAATTGAATTAATTTAATATAATAAATCATCATCATTATTTGATGAAAATTGTGTGAAAAATATTTGTTAATTTGATGTCAATCAACAAGAAACAACAACATCAACGACGACAACGAAAACAGTAGCAACAAGAAATCATTATTACCGTCATTATAATCTAAAAATCTTCATCAATTATTCACAAGATGTTTGGATTTTCATCGAATGAATTTTATTTTGATCAACATAATAATTATAATGATGATGATGATGATGATGATACACATGAGAATTATGAGAATGGATTAATCGATAGAATAATTTATCGGCCAGAACATTTATCAAAACGTTTTCATCAAGATCAATCATCATTATCAACATCAACTACTGTTGATGGAGATTATATTCTAGATAATGTAAAATGGCTTTATAAAAAACGAAATCCATCACAATCAATAATTAACAATGATGATGATTATCAAACGATATCAAATCAACAAAAAGAACAAAAAGAACTTGAACATCATCATCATCATCATCAACACCAACATCAACATCACAATATTCATAATCATTTAAATGATATTGATCATAATGTAATTTTTCAATCATCGGAAAATCAACAACAACAACAACAACGTCATCATTCAAATATACAAAATGGATTACAACAATCAACAAATCAACAGCAATTATCATCATCATCATCATCATCATCACATTACATAATCATCATCATCATCATTCGGAAATTCCAACACGAAATCTGAATCCAATTATTGATGATAATGATCTTTTTACTGAAAGAGAACGTGAATATTATAAAGATTATGATCCAATGGTTGGATATCGAATAGCATTATCATTGGGCTTACTTATATTAATATTCATCATATTTGTTCTTTATAAAACACATTGTCAAAGTAAAAAAAATCGTCGTTTATTAATGAATGCACAGCAAAATATTCAAATGTCAAATTTACGTACATCAACAACCACCAATGATTTATAGTAACAATTGAATGTAGATTTTATGTTTTCACAAAAATATCATATCATATCATATCATCATTATTTATACAGTTACATTATAGATATTTATTTAGTAAAAAAAAAACATCATCATCATTATCATCAATAATGTGAACATATATAGTAATAGGAAACATACACAAAAAAACATTCATGAAAACAATAATAATATCCGAGCTCTAAATATACATAAACAAATATGACCTTATTTCATTGATCTATTGTTGAAGATTATTATATACATTGATTAAGATTATCATTCATAAAAATCTTGTTATCAAATAAAATCAATTTTACTCCATATATTGCTCATGGTTTTTTTTTTTTTGATTGTTCACTCATCTTCTAGGGCCACCATATTTTTCCACACAAATCGCATTGATCAATGTTAATCAACTTCATCATCATATGAATTCGTCAGGAATACGTCATGTCTAGCTTCTATTTTTTTGTTTTAATCACGATGATTATCATCATTGCCAATTTTCATATGTTTTCTGTTGCTATTTCTGCAACGTGATTGCTGATACGTCACATGGAATTAACCGTGAATGATGCGAAAAGAAAGCGAAAATGGTCAATTTATCATTGTCACATGGATTATATTCCATTGATACAATCGAAAAAAATTTTACTCCGCATTGATTTTTTTTCCTGAATAATTACAATCGATTTCGATTTCGCTGATGTAGTTGTTGTTGTTGTTGTTGATGTTTAGCTGCTTTTGGTAATGCTATTTTGGCTGAACTTATCTCATTATTACGTTGATGATGATAATGGTTAAGTTGGTTACCTGTTAAAGCGACAAATTAAAGTTATATTTAGAATGATTGGTTTTTTTTTGAATACTTACAATTTTGATTATTCAAACCATTAAAATGATTGTTAACAGCATCAAGTATTTTACATTTATTATCGGCTACTATTGATGTTGTCGTTGTTGAATTTGATTGTGATTTTGTCGATAAAGGCTGAAAACATTTTCGAATTGCTGCTGCTGTTGATTGTACATGATTTTGTTGTTGTTGTTGTTGTTGTCTTTGATGATGTTGTTGTTTATATGATCGTTTTTGTTGTTGTTGTTGGTGTTGTTGCTGTTGATGATGATGATGGTGATGATGATGATGATTATTGTGTGCACCAAAATTAGATTCAAAATCAACATCAATACAATCATTATTATTATCCGTTGGAATAAGTATATCAACATCATTTCCCATAATAACAACATCATCAACATCACCATCATCATCAATAATAATGTCAACATTATCATTGCGGTTATCTTGATTATTAGTTTGTGCATAGAAAAATAAACCACCAGATAAATGTTTATTTGATCCATTACTATTTAACAACTTATTACTATTGTTATTATTATGTGAATGATTTGTATGTTGTTGAATGTTGGTGGCCGATATAGATTCATGATTATTGGTAGCCATATTATCGGTAGAAAAATTTCGATGATTTTGAAATTTTTTCGTCTGCTGTTGTTTATGTTGATTATTATTATGATTACCATTCATTTTGAGATGTTGATGTTTATGGTTTGTTGCTGCTAATAATAAGCTAGGTTTCATTACTGACATTCCATCATTGTGATCATTGTTGTTACCATTATTTCTGTTATTATTATCATTAGTATTGGAACAAACAATGGCCATTGATGATGAACCTAAACCAGATTTTGAATCATTGTTCATCATTAAATGATGATGATGATGATTATTATTATTATTATTATTATTATTATTATTATTGTGACCAGATGTTTGTGATGCTAAATGATCAAAATGGCTAAAACAATGTCGTGTTGTTGATTGTTGATTATTTGATTGTTGTTGTTGTTGTTGTTGTTGTTGATGATGATTATGATGATGATGATGATGGTGATGATTTTGTTTTATGTTTTTTGTTGTTTCTACTGATGCATCAATTAATGAATCTAATGGATCATTACGCAATTGACGCATAAATGTATTTACGGACGATGCTGCACCGAATGGTAAACGATTACGTTTCGGTGGCTGATAATAACCACGTTGGCAACACCAATCACCATGTCGATCATTACGAAAAAACCATGTCTGTGAACAATTCATACAATGACAACATTGATTTCGATTTAATCCATTATTGCCTATTGTATTGTTAGTTATAGGTTCTATATCGGATAATTTTGTACCACTAAATATCGTATCCAATAAACGATCAGTACTATTAACACGATGGTGACCATTTAATGGTAATGATGTCATCGTTGTACGAGGTAATTTCGTTGATGATTGTAATTGTTGTGGTTGTTGTTGATGATGATGATGATGATCATGATGATTTAATGATTGTTGTTGATTCGAAATATTTGTACGAAAATATCTTGGTAAATTGAAACGCGTTGTTTTATTGCTATTATTTAATAAAGGATTATTTTGGCTTTTAGATAAATAACCAATTGGACCATCCGTATAATCGGCTGGATGTAATGAAAACCATGATGTCATTTCTCTTGTACTACCCATTGATGGTTGCAATTGATGATGTTGATGAGAATGAGGATGATGTGATGCTGTCATTCGTAATCTTTGCTGTTGTTGCCATCTTAATGCAGCTTTTTCGGCATGTTTCCAATGACGATATTCATCACACATATCTTTAAATCGTACTGACATTGCAACAATAATCAAACAAATGACCGATAATGCACAACAAGATCCAATCAATATATATGCCAATCTTTCTGTTGTTAAACGATATGATGAACCATTTGTTGACGTTGTCGTTGTTGTTGTTGTTGTCGTCGTCGTCGTCGTTGTCGTTGTAATTCCAATATTCATTTTTGTCGATGTTAATATTGGCATTTCTGTTGTTGCTATTGATATATTTCTATTATTCGTAGCTAATTTATTCAATTTTGTTGATTGTTTCTGTAAACTATTCTTATTATCATCATGATCATAATCATTATTATAGAATACATTTGTTGATCGATTATTCCAGCCAATACTCGTATTGGATAATCGAGATTCATCGGAATTTAAATCAAAAAATATATTTGCATCTGAATCAATATTATTAGACATTGTTGTTGTTGTAGTTGTTGTGTTTGGCATAAATTCCGATTATTATCATCATCAATTATTATTGCATCATTTGCTCCAAATGTAATTGTTTCTTCTGTTGTTGTTGTTGTTGTTGTTGTTTTCGGTGCTATTATTGAATTTTGTTTGAATTTATTATTCATCGTACGATTATTATAGAATTTTGTTGGATTCGGTCTAATATTGTTTATTGTATGATTTTTATATTTAATAATTGGCGTAAAATTTGGCCTTTCCGTTGTTAAAGTTTTCGTTTTTTTGTTGTTGTTGTTGTAAAATTTTTAATTCGTATTTTTACTCCTGGTCTTGAACTCGATATTGATGGTTTTCTTGTTGTTGTTGTTGTGGTTGTAGTTGATCTCCGTAACGATATAAATCGATTTGGATTACTATAGGAAAAATCATCTTTGATTTTTGTTGTCATTATCGATGGATGTCTTGTTGGTGTAAATTTTTTTGAATTTTGATTCATTTTTTCTGTATTTCGAATCAATGTAGTGGATATTTTTGGTGTCCACAATGTTGAGGGTTTCACTGTTCCATTTGAATTTTGACCATTATTATGATGATAATAATAATGACTATTATGACGATTATGATTACGATTATAATGACTAGGTTTTTCATATGGTGGATGTCCAATAATGATTGCTTGATTCTTAATTTTATCAACTGGATCATCATCTCATTATTTATTATTATTATTATTGGAACTTTTATTATTATGTTTCGATATTAATAATGGTCTAAATGGTAGATGATAAGGTGGCGCTAAAATCGGTTTTAAATGTGTTAAATTTGTTATCCATTCATCTAATTGATCTTCTTCTTGTATAGATGAATCACTAACGGTAATAATATGTTGATTATCATCATGTTGTTTATTATTGCTAATTTTATCATCATAATGATCTAATGGTCGATATAATAAATCACCACCATTACTAACTAGATTGAATGTATCACTAAATGATGATTTTGTTTGATTTAGTTGTGCTTTTTTTGCATCCAATTCTTTTTTAAGTAATGAAGCCAATTCTATTCAATGGCCAGTCATTTTTTTCCATTGTTGACATCGATGATGATGATGATGTGAAATGAAGAAAAAAAAAGAGAGAAAAAAAGAAAGAAAAATTATTATTTTTTTTTTTTGGCGACAAACTAAATTCATTCACATTCAATCAAATAAATGAAAAAAAAATCGAATCCAAATTCAATTGAATTGAATTCAAACAATCGAACCAAAAAAAAAAAGTTTATTTTATTTTCTCATTTTCTTCATCTACCATCACCATCGAAATGATCAATCATCCATCGTGATTGAGTATACATTATTGATTTTATTGCCCATACCACCAGCATCATGTGTGTGTGTGTGTGTGTGTGTGTGTGTGCATGTGTTGGAAACGTACCGAAAATTCCAAATCGAAAATGTACATGAAAACTAAAAATAATATAATATTACACTATTCCAAGGGCATCCAAATTGAAAAAAAAACTAGACCAAATAATTTTTTTCTAACAATGAACATAGACATTGTTTTGTCTACAAAACAAAATGACGATGATGATGATGATGACAAGAGAAGAAAAAATATCACTAATACCAATCAATAATAATATATATCATCAGGCCAAACAAACAAACAAACAAACGAACGAAAAAAACGAATGAACTAAAATACAATAGACAATCAAAATGTTGAAAACTATAACATTTGCAAACATTGATTTTTCATTCTCATATATTTACAATTCGTTATTCATTTTGACATGAATTTCATCATTGTCATCTTATTTTCATTATATATATATATAAATATTCTTTAATCTTTACTGTTTAGTGGACAATGGTGACAATGATTTATCATTTATTTATAAATATATGAAAAAAAATTGTCATAAACACGCACGTCAATATCATCATCATATATATATGGAGAGAGAGAGAGAGAAAAGAAATGGAGAAAAAATGACCACTTTTTTTCAACTTCACCAAATTCCATAAAATGTGTGATTATTCGAAATATGCTGCATGTAAAGAAAATCATAAAACAAGAAAATGGTGAAATGAAATCTAATAATAAAATGCTAATGTTTGAACGAGAATAAAAACAGCGATAACAACAAAACTATTTCAATATTGATGATGATGATGATGATGATGATGATGATGATGATGATGATGGCAAAATCTTGCCAATTTTATTCTTGATTCATTTTATCATTACCAAAAATGGCTGAATGAAAATTAAATCATCATCATCAACATATAGTTATCAACATATATTTATCAAATTTGATTCATTCAGTATTCATGATTTGTTTGTTCATATGCATTGTGAATAATAATGACTATATATATGTATATTTCCAATTTGGTTTCAGGCACTTGTGGACAAAATAATTTCATTTGCATACATAATATAACCTAATATGTGTGTTTGTTGTTTTATTTTCATTCAACAATGTTATGTGATAGAATGAAATGAATGAATTCAAAATAAACAAGATTTGCATATATAAATAAAATGGAACAAAAACGATTTTTCTACTTTCAACTTACCATCTTTTTGTTTTTGTTTAAATCTATTTAATGTTGAATTTTTTCGATTTTCAGCTGTTTGTTTGAACATCATATGAATTCCTGGATTAATGAATTTCATTGTTGTCGCTACAGTTGTATGTTCGATTGTCGGTATTATTGAAGTGGTGGCTGTCATCATTATTTTTGTTGTTGGTGTTGTTACACTTGTGGTAGGCGGTGTGGTCATTGGTGTTGCTCCAGTCAAAACAATTGGCTTATCACCAACATTGACAATCACCTGGAATAATGTTTTGTTCGGATGTTGTAATATCGATGATGGTGTCCATTTTTGATTTTTCATCATCATTGGTTTGGTGAATAATAATGGTAATAAAATTGTCGTTTTTGTTGCTGTCGGTACCGTTGTCGTATGCATTGGTGTTGTTGATGATAATAGAACATGTCGAATTGGATTGAAAATCATTGGTTTTGAAATCAATGGAAAATTATCACGATTTGTTGATATTTTTGGTGTTTGTTGTTGTTGTTGTTGTTGATATTGTTGTTGTTTTATTCGATTGTTTGTATTGAATTCGGTGTGGATGATTAGGAGATGTAGATGGTCTGGAAGGTAATTTTAACGCTTGTTTTATGGCCATCGTTTGTTGTGAATTTTGATCTTTTGAACCATAAAATATTTGATTCGGTAATTTTTGTTGTTCAAGATTAGCTTTAGCTTTGGCTGCTGCTGCCAAAATAATACGTCTAATGAAAGCATCGTGTGTTTCACGACCATTACGAAATAGACGATCGATTAATGGATCGGTCGTTGTTTCATTATTTTTGTTGTTTGTTTTTAATGTCATATATGGCACCGGAAACAATGAATTCTGTTGAATTCTTGATGGCAATTTTGTTGAATTTATGATATTTTTATCTTTTAACATCACTAATGGCTTCGTTTTGTTCATTATCGTTTTTGTTGAGGTAATATTAAATGGTTTTTTCGTCGTAATATTTAATGGTGAAAACGATGATAATGATAATGATGAATATGATGGTGAAAATGGCCAGGCTTGAATTTTATCCTGGATCACTGTTGTTGCTGTTGTTGTTTTGAAATTGGCACCAGAATTTGTTGTTTCAGCCAAAACGATGGACATTGTTGTTGATAACAATGACAAAATTAATATTAAAATCAAAATTGTGGATCGAAAAATTGTTGCTGAACAATAAAAAGATTTATTAAAAATGTCAAAAAATTTTTTAAATTGATAATACAATTTTGTTTTGAAGAAAATTTGATGATTGATATAACAACAACAACAACAACAACGATGATAATAATAAAAAGAATGGCAACAATGATAATGACGATGATTGTCGATTAGCAACATATCGTCGATAAGTGAAGAATAAGAATTTGATTATGATCAATGATGATGATAATAATGATGATGATGATGATGACATTGACATGGACAATAAAAGATTGACAATTGATTTCATGATTTGTATGATAAACACTTCAATCATATCTATCGATATTTAATTTTGGGAATACAAATTCAAAACACGTATATATTTATTAATGATATAAATGATTGTTGATAATCAATAATGATATTTAGAAGTAAACGTGAATAAAATGCATAAAAAGAATGTTTTTTTTCATATAGAATAAAATGAATCAACTGATAGATCGATTGAATCAACAATCAAGTCACAGAATGATGATTTCTTGATGATACAACAAACAGGAATACTTTTAACTCTGAACAAACCCTACTACATATATCAACTTCGATCAACTTGAACGAATCTTGTTTGTTGGTGTATTTTTTTTTGTGAAAAAAATTTTTTTCGTTTGAAAAAAAATATTTGAATTATGAATTTCACAAGCGAAAACAAAAGCAGAAACAAACATCAGACAAAAAAAAATATCTAAGCAGATTCCATAAGATTTTCTATTGATTGAACATTTATTCATCAAGTTAAGACTTATAATAAATAACAAAACAAC